TACTACTACTACTACTACGACTGCGACTGCGACTACGTCTGCGACTGCGACTACGACTACTACTACTACTACTACTACTACTACTACTACTACTATCGCTACTGCTACCGCTACTGGTATTACTATTACGATTACCATTCCTGCAACGACGACTACGAGTACGAGTACGAGTGCGACTACGACTACGACTACGACAACGACTACTACTTCTACTACTACTACTACTACTACGACCCCGAGTAGTAATACAAACAATAACTCCGACTACTACCACTACTAGTGATACTACGACTAGTACTAACTCGTACTACTCGTACCACTCCTACTGCTACTACTACTACTACTGCTACTACTACTACTACTACACCTACGATTACTGCTACGCCTACTACTAAAACTACTGCGACTACTACGATGACGACGACCACTACTCTTACTACTACTACTACTACTACCACCACTACTACTACTACTACTACTACTACTGATACTACTGCTACTAGTAGTAGTAGTAGTAGTAGTAGTAGTCGTACTACTACTACGAATACTACTGGCACAACGTCTACTACCACTACTGCTGCTGCTGCTACTACTACTACTACTACTGCTACTACTACTACCACCACCACTACCACTACCACTACCACTACCACTACCACTACCACTACCACTACTACCACTACTACTACTACTACTACTACTACTACTACTACTAAACTACTACTGCGACTACTACGATGACGTCGACCACTACTCGTACTACTACTACTACTACTACTACTACTACTACTACTACTACTGCTACTGCTACGTAGTAGTGTAGTAGTAGTAGTAGTAGTAGTAGTAGTAGTAGTAGTAGTAAGTAGTAGTAGTAGTAGTAGTAGTAGTAGTAGTAGTAGTAGTAGTAGTCGTACTACTACTACTACTACTACGACTACTACTAGTACCACGTCTACTACCACTAGTGCTGCTACTACTACTGCTACTACAACTACACTACTACTACTACACCACCACCACCACCACCACCACCACTACCACTACCACTACCAGTACCACTACTACTACTACTACTACTACTACTACTACTACTACTACTACTACTACTACTACTACTACTACTACTACTACTCCCCCATCTCAAGTTCTCCGCCTAGCTCCCCGCTCCCTCCACCACCCTGCCTCTTCCGCCCCCCTCCCTTCCCTCCTTCCCATGCCCCCCTCCACCCGTCCTGCTGCACCCCCTGGGCCCTGCCCCCCTGGCCTGCCCAGTGGCCACCAGGGGCTCCTGAGCTATCGCACTGCCCCTCCTGGGGCCCGCCGCTCTCCCGTGGACGGCGGCCGTCCCGGCGCTCGATCCGCCTCTCCAGCTCGGGAACGACGGGGGGGCGGGCCAGGCCGGGGAGGGCGAGGTGCGGGGCAGCGCCCAAAAAGGGGGGGGAAGATCCCCAGGAGGGTCCCGAGAGAGCCCCAGGCTGCGCTCACATGAGGAGGCCCGAGGGCACCGCAGGCGGCAGCATCAGCATCATCATCGTCATCATCAAAAACAGCATCAGTATCAGCATCAGCCGAATCATCATCATCACCACCACCACCATTACCATCATCATCACCACCACCACCAGCGTCATCATCATCATCATCATCATCATCATCATCATCATCAGCAGCAGCAGCAGCAGCAGCAGGAGCAGCATCAGCATCAGCATCACCATCATCAGCATCATCATCAGCACCATCATCATCGCCATCACGATCATCGTCACCATCATCATGAACATAATCATAATCGTCATCATCATCATCAAATGAATCATCATCACCATCATCAGTATTCATCAGCATCAGCATCATACTTTTCATCCTCATCACCATCATCGTCAACGTTATCGTCATCAACACAATGATCATCATCAGAAGCATCAGCGCCACCAACATCATATTCACTATCACTATCAGCATCACCACCATCGTCATCGTCAGCAGCATCCTCAGTAGCATCCTTATAAGCATCGTCATCATCACCATGATCATCCTGATCCTCCTCCTCATCATGATTGTTGGCATGATCATCCTCGTCCTCCTCATTGTTATCATTGTTCCCATCAGTATCGTCATCATCATCAGCATCAGCATCATGACTACCATCATCATAACTTTCATCATCATTACCACAATCATCTTCATTATCATTACCATCATCAGCATCTTCGTCAACATCATTATGTTCATCATCAGCATCATCATCCTTACCAGCATCACATTCCTCATCCTCATCCTCGTCCTCATCCACATCCACATCCTCCTCATCATCATCAGCATCATCATCATCATCATCACCATCACCATCCTCGACATCGTCATCATCATCATCATCGTCATCGTCATCGTCATCGTCATCGTCATCGTCATCGTCATCGTCATCATCATCATCATCATCATCATCATCATCATCATCATCATCATCATCATCATCATCATCTTCGTCATCACCACCATGATCATCGCCATCATCAGCATCATCATCATCATCAGCATCAGCATCAGCAGCATCAGCATCAGCATCAGCATCAACATCAGCATCAGCATCAGCATCAGCATCAGCATCAGCATCAGCATCAGCATCAGCATCAGCATCATCATCATCATCATCATCATCATCATCATCATCATCATCATCATCATCATCACCTTCTTCGTCATCATCATCATCATCATCATCATCACCATCACCATCATCATCATCTTCGTCATCATACCCCTCGGCCCCGTCGTCCCCCCCCCCTTCACGTTACCCGTCGAGAGAGCCCCACGGCATCACGGCGCGCAGCGTGGGCAGGCCGAGGCGGGCAGCCTCCGACGAGTGGCCGGGGGGGGGCCTCTTGAACGGGGCTGGCCGCTCGCTAACCCCACGCGACTGGGGCTTCCTCTGGGGGTGGGCCCGCGCCGCCCGACGCGGCCCCTGCAGGCGGGGGGGCGGCACCACGGGCCACAAGGGGAGGCAGCGGGGGGGGGGGGGGAAGCCGCGGGCGCGGCGCGCAACCGAAGACCCCCAAAGAAGCCGCGGCTCTTGTACGACGTGGGCCCCCCCTTCCCTGGGACAGGAGTTTCATCCCGAGTCGTGTCTTGAAGGCCCCCAGAGGTCTCGACGCCTTCCCCGCTGGGCTCGAACAAAACCGTGTGTCTGCTCGTTTTCGTTATGTTTTCGGTTCCCCTTGTTTTGCCTCCGTTCCGCCTCCGCTGCAGAACGAAGCCAAAACGAAACCGTTCCATGAAATCGCAAGAACACCTTCTGGGTCGAGCCCTGCTTCACCAGGACCGGATTTTCATTCCGAGTCGTTTCTTGATGGCCCCGCGGGGCCTGGCAACGGCCCCTGGAGGCCGAAGACTATGGAAAGCATCCCGTCGTGTTCTGTTCATGGCCCAGGGGGGGTCTGGAACGTGCCACCCTTATAGGCCATCTGGATGGGGTCAGAGTAGATGGGGTCGGAGGATCGCGCCGCATCGGCGATGCATCGGCGATGCGGCGCGATCCTCCGACCCCATCTGCTCCGCCCCCATCTAGGAGGCCTAGAACCCTTCTGCCCACCGCGCACTCAGCCAACCTTCCGAGGGGAAGCCACACAGGTACCGATTTACTGCTACTCTCCGGACCTCTCCAGGGGCGCGCTCTATGACCAGGATTTCGAGGCGAATCCATCGGTGGCGACGAGTGCCTCCCAGGAGGCCCAAAACAGGGGGAGAACGAGGACAGGGTACAACTGAACCTAGGACAGAAGAACACCCCTGAAGAACACCCCTCCAGAGCACGAGACCCTCCCTCGGCCCACAGTGAAGAACATTCGAGGGTGCCCTCCCCCAGGATACACAAACAGAAGATGACAAATACATCATTGCAATTACATACAAATAATTATCCCAGTGCGACCCTACCTAGGAGTTGGAGCATCTAGGAAAGCAACATCTACATCTACACCGACGGCTAAATTATCATCTACACCTATGCTATGCTATGCTATGCTATGCTGTGCTGTGCTGTGCTGTGCTGTGCTATGCTGCGCTGTGTTATGCTATGCACTGCTATGCTATGCGATGCTGCGCTATGCTATGCTATGCTGTGCTGTGCTATGCTATGCTATGCTATGCGATGCTATGCTATGCTGAGCTATGCTAAGCTAGGCTAAGCTAGGCTAGGCTAGGCTAAGCTGCGCTAAGCTAAGCTAAGCTAAGCTAAACCAAGCTAAGCTAAGTTAAGCTAAGCTAGGCTAGGCTAAGCTAAGCTAACTTAAGCTATGCTAAGCTAAGATGAGATAAGCAACGCTAAGCTAAGGGACGCAACTGGGGGAACCGCGGGGCGGATACTGGGGGAACCGCCCGGGGCGAGTTGCACTGCCCGGCCCTTTAAGTTTACCGCGTAAGAACCCTTCTAGGCAGAGCCTAGGTAGAGAAAAACCTGGAGTATGTGGTTTGTATTTGCGGTTGTAATCTGCAATATTTCGTTAAAGGAAACAAGCCTCCAACAAACACGAAGAACACTAGGGTACCCTCCACGAACCGACCTCCATCTTATACCTCGGCCCGGCCGCAGTTTTACGGGTACGTGTTCCTTCTCTGACCTCCCGCCCACCACGGCCTCGCCCCGCGATGGCGGCGAGGGCCACCTGTGAGGGGGGCAACGATCGGGGGGGGGCTGGTACACGGTGGGAAACATCAACCTGGAATTGGCGATACATCGCCAGTAGAACGGCGACAGGCCCCCGATAGCCAATCCCCGCGCTCCTAGGCGGAGAGGCCATCGGGCCTCCCATCGTGGGCGATTGGGGATCGATGCATCCGCCCCCCCTAAACGTCGGTCGGAAGAAGTAGGTAAAGACATGAAGTAGGAAGGCGGATAAACCAGATTGGGTTCAGGCCCTCCCAGAGAAGAACAAGACACGGCAACAACACACATCGATTCCCGAAGTAGGAAGGCACTTGCAGTAGCGTGGGATCTGGGAATCCCAAACCACCTGCTTCCAACGACCGACGAGCACCGTTGCCCCTGGACCTGCGCCCTGCGCAGCTCGGCCTCCAGGCCCGCGGCCCGGGCGCAGCCCGCTGCGGCGCCGCAGGCGGGCCGCCGCGCCAGCTCGGCGCACCGCCGGCGCAACTCGACGCTCTCCGTCAGCGCCTCGGCGGCCGCCGCCTCGGCCTCGCGCTTGCCCCGGCGCGCGTGGTCCAGCGCCTCTCATTTGGGACGATCGGGATGGGAGCGGAAAGAATGGATACATGTCGGGCGGGAGACACAGGCAAAAGCACGATGAAGGCAGGAAGATGAAAAAAGAGTGGGTGGGTTCAGCCCCTCCCCAATGAATTCGCCGGCCCAACGGGCCAGAGGCGTGCTAAGATCTCCGGTAACTGGTTAACAATATTTCTAGTTCGCGCGCGCGGGGCGGCCCCTGGGGGTCCCCCGGCGAAAAGTATCCCGACTGCAGCCCGAGCAGGTCTACTCAGAGATGGTTTTGAGGGCCTTTTTTCGACACCCCTCACGAGGATCGAGGCCTCCCAGGGGGGTGCACTCGACTGCCCCGCCCCAAGAGGCCCCCAAGAGCCCCCCAAGAGGCCCAAGGGGGCCCCAAGACGCCGCCAAGGAGCCCCAAGAGACCCCCAAGAGGCCCCCAAGAGGCCCCTAGGAGGCCCCAAAGAGGCCCCCAAGAGGCTTCAAAGAGGCCCCATAGAGCGCTCGAGGGCCGGCGGAATGAGCGAAGCGATTAAATAACAAAACGCAGCAACAGCAAATTGGCTCTTGGCGCTCGAAATAGATTGGGTCCTGTGTCCAACGAATACCTACTGTCAACGACCGGCGTGTAGGATGCCCGACAGCCGTTCCTTTTCATTTTGAGCAGGTGTCGCTGCCCGCGCCTGCTCGGACGCTGTTCACTGAAGACGAAAAGCCGCCTGCCCAACATCGGCCGCTGTCCGTTTGGGACAACATTTGCTGTTGGGCATTGTGCCAACTTTTTCCGTACCCATATCGGGCGTCCAAACAAACTCGTGACCAGCCTCGGACGTATCCCTGATCCTAAGACGGGCAACACCCTAAGGGAATGACAATCTTAAGGATGAGCCCTCAGGAGCGGAGGGAGTCCTCAAGATCGGCACCGAGGTAAGGTGATTCAAGGCATAGGACAAGGGATACGTTTCAAGTTGTAAATCTCAGGAGGAGAAGGGGGTCATGAATCCCAACAGCCCTCTGGGCGTAGATGGTCTAGGTCCCATCGGGGAAGGGTGCCATCCCCTTCCCCTCCCGGAGTGGTGTTGGGGGTTACGCGGGGTGTCAGGGGGTCTTGTTTCGCCCAAGATGGCTCCAAGAGGGCCTCCGTTGCTCCAAGATGGCCTCCAAGATGGCTCAATATTGCCAACGATCGCTCAAGATGGCTTCAAACATGCTCCCAGAGGGCCCAAAGACCGCTCCAAGACGGCCCCAAGTGCTCTCGGACTCCCCAACAACGCGGCATGGCCCAGAGGGGTAACAACCATGCTCTCAAGAGCCGAGGAGCCAGGGCCGAACCGAGTCACTGTAGTAGGTTGGTGTTAGAATCAACTGTTAGGGGTCGTTCAATTGTTTTGACACCGGCCAGGAGTTGGTTTAGGCGACTCTTGGCCGGCTGCTTCCCCACCCTCCACTACTTCTCTCGGCCTCTAGCCGAGGGTGTCCAGGCCAGTGTCAGCCTGTCACCTACAACTACAACCAGAGAGACCCATGACATTGCTGGCCAGGATGCTGCAACGCGCGCGTCACAGGCTTCCCTTGGAAGGGACCACTCAAGCTCTCGTCCGCAGACTGCTTCTGCAGTGTCCGAGCTCCGCAGCTGCCTGCACGCCCTCCTGTGCTCAGCCGCGTTCCTGCTCTCATGGATACTGCGCAGGCCTGACGACAGCTTGAGAGAGGTCCCCTCCAAATGTGCCCCCCCGCGCCTCGCCCAGCGAGGCGTTCTCGGCCTGCAGCCCCGCCAGCAGCCGCGCGCAGGTGAGCAGCTGGCGGGTGCGCGCGTCCGCCGCGGGCGCTGGGGGCGCCACCACGGCGGCGGGGCGGGCGGCGGCCGGCGGGCCTCCCCCGGGGCGCCCGACGACGTGATGACTTTTTGCATGCCCCCTCTGGCCATCGCTCGGACGTCCATTCCCTGTTTTTTTCGGTTTCGTGCGTGGTTTCTTCGCCAAATGATCAAGGATGCTCCTCGATGGTCCTCGCCGACAGAAAAATCCACACGTCCGAGCGATGCCAAGCGCTCTGTTGCCGTGGGCGGAGAGCATGTGCGCGTCCGCGGCCTCGCGGGCTGGGGGCCCCTGGACCGCGACCCCGCGGGCACGGGGCGCTTCTGTCGCGGAGGCCCCGCGCGGAGCGTATCCGTAGGATCGCGCAGCTCCGCGGGTTCGCGTCCTGGAGTGCAGGCCGCGAGGGCGCGGATGCGGACGTGTGCGCCGCTCGTGATATTGTCGAGGGGGAGGGGGGGGGGAGGGACTCGCCATCGCTCGGAAGTCCCTTCCCCGTGCATGTTTCTGCTATTCTTCGCAAGATGATCCAAAATGCTCCTCGATGGTCCTCGCCGAGAAAAAAAAACGCACACGTACGAGCGATGCCAAGGGGAAGGAAGGGGGAGGGGGACGCGGACAGCCGATGATTCGAGGGCCCCCATGTCTCGTCTCAGTGTCCTGCCAGGGATCCGCCACCGTGCCCCCTGGCATGTTGAGGCGTGCTGGAATGGCAAGAGCTGCCTGGTGCGGGCTCTGGAATCTTCTCAGGGACAGCCCCCCCGCGGGCCGCACCTCGTCGCGTGCACCCGCCATGCTCCCGGGGGTGTCCCTGGGCGGCCATGGCTCCTCCCTAGGGCTCTCCAAGGCTTGCAGGACGGCCCAGGGGGCCTCCAAGACGGTCTGAGAGGGCCCCGGGTCGCCGAACGATCGCTCGAAGATGCCTAGGAAGCCCTCAAGAGTCTTCCAAGGCGCCCCTAGAGACCTCCCAGAGGTCTCCCGAAAGGGCCTTCATAGGGAAAAACATTGTTTTTGTTTGCGTTCTTGAAAGATTTCGGCGCTCTCGCCTTTTCTGATTTCCGACGCTCCAAAACGGCGCACGAGGCCCCCAAGACACGGCCTGAGAGCGCCCCAAGACAGCCCAAGAGGCGCCCCTGACGGCCCAAGACGGCCCCAGGACGACCCCGAAAGGTGCCCCTGATAGAGAACACGAACCACAAACCCGAGAGTTCCGCTCCAAGGGGCCCCCAGGAGGCCCCAAGAGGCCCCAAGAGGCGCCCAAGAGGCCCCCAGAGGCCCCCAAGAGGCTCCCAAGAGGCCCCCAGAGGCCGCCCAGAGTGCCTCAAAACTGCCTCCAAGAGGCCTCCCACGAGATTCCAACGAACATCCACTGGGCTTATAACCCACAGCCCGGGCACGGGGGGGGACTTGCCGTAGGCAGCTGATGCGGCATGCGTGAGCAGCCTAAGGCCAAAGGCCGAAGAACCAGCCATGGCGGCCGGCAGGCCTCTTTCCCAAGGCGCCCGACTGTGTGCGGCCAAGCGGAAACCCGACCAGGCTGAGCTCGGCCTGGGCCGAGCTCGGCGCGGCCCAGCCCAGCCGGGCCGAAATCAGCCTGGCCGAGCTCCGCCGGGCCGCGTTCAGCTGGCCGAGTTCAGCCTGGCCGAGATTTTCCCGCAGTTGCCGCCGAAGAAGTCCTGACCCCCTTTGGAGGCAGCAACGCGGAGGTGGCGCGACGGGGCCGGGCGTCTAAAACGGCGGAGGGGATTCCTAGAAGGCAGGGTCCTTAAGGCCACGCTGGCTTCTAAGAAAGCTTCTTCGTAGTTGGGCGAGCCTCGAAGTCCCCCTCCCGTCTTGAGGACCCGCCGCCCTCTTAGAAGGTAGCCCGCCTCGCGCCACCCCCTTTGGGGCGTCGCCAACCCTTCCCACGGGACAGTCTTTCGTTTGTCATGTCGGTCCCAAGGCTGGCTTGGTCCTGCCCGGATCGGCCATGGAACTGTGGCCAATCGACTCCGCGCGGGGACGAGGAACTCAAGCTTCCTGAGACGCCCTTGGCGTACTTTCAGCTCGACGTGAAGGACAAGGGGCCTGGTGAAGCCAAGGCCTGTATCCTGGGCTTTCCGAGGTCTCCCTTTGGATGTTTGGCGCCCGACCACGGGCGCCAGAAGCCGAAATCGAGGGAAGACACCAGGAGCCAACGAACATTTGATACCGCTACTCTGAACCTGTCATGGGGTGTATTCTGACCAGAATTTGACCAGGGGTGCGAGGAGAATTCCGCCGTGGCGGTGAGAATTTTCCAGGACGAGCAGCGGTGTCGCGATCCTCTCCCACTTTGGAAGTCACACCGTCGGAAATGCGGGCATTGCCCGAATGTCTCGACCCTTTCTCCGCGGCCGTCTTTGATCCCGAATTGTTATTGAACGGTCCTGGGGCCCGGCGAGTGCCCAAGACCGAAACCTTAAAAAACGACCCCCCGTCAAGAAGTTCTCAAAATTGAAACCACCGCAAAAAATGCAAACTGGAAAATCAAGGGGGGTCGTATGCAGATGCTAACGTGGTGTGCATCTGGCCCAACCTATCTTTATAAAAAGGCTACTCAAGCCCCCGATGGCTCCGGGGGGGTAAAGGTCCGGGCTAAGTGGGCACCGACCACTTCGGAGGGTTATGTAACTCCTTTTTTAATATTTGTTTGTAATATTTGTTCGGAGGGTTATGTAACTCCTAAGCAACTTAGGGCACTTGCAGCTCGTTGTAGGCCAATTCCAACTCACCTTGGCATCCGCGGCGAACCTCCTGTTCCACTTAGCAGCCCCAGCTGTGATCCAAGCGAGCCCCGGAAGGCCCCCCAGGTAAGCAGGCAGGCAGGCAAGCGCGACGTTTCCGGCCAAAGAGGCCGACCCGCACGGGCCGCAGTCCTCACATGTAATTCCTCTGCACGAAATCAATGGCTTTGCCGTCTTCTTCGAAATTGCCCGATGTTCCGCGGACACCGTTCGATCCGAAGAGACTTTGAATATAATTTGTCCAACGCCGCCCAAGGACTTCCTTGAGACCTCATTGCGTATGGTGGCTGCCGTCGTAATGTTTGGCCGCTTATTCGGGGGCGACTGTTGTATCCGATGCGCTCATGCATATTTCATATTTCTCTGCGCAACGATCCACGAAATAGTATTTCATTCGACCATCTTTGATTTTGCTTCTTTCGTGGATCGTTCTACCCGGTCCACCCATGGTTCAGTCGTATCACTCAACAAATCGCCCGCGCAAGCTCGTTTCCTTCCCCTCCCCAAGATCAAACGCAACATCCGTCTTTGGCAGCGTAATGACTTCCCGCCATTGTCCACGTTGCTGCTCCGTAAAGCACCGTCGGCTTCACCAGTGTCGGAACACGTCAACCGGTCGTGCAAGGAGTTATCATTTTTAGTGAGTTCGTCCTTGAACGCCATGAATTTCTTCCAGCCGGCCAAAATACGATTGTCTAGCTAAGCGTCATCGGGGTCTTCGAAAGTGAGCTTCCACCCACGCTGCCACTGAAAAGGTAACACTTCGATATCTAACCCACATACATCCAACAATTTTCGCGATAGGTCCCCTGTCCTCTTTGTTAGGTTGCTGAGCAACTTCTTTTTTGCTGAGTGAAATGACATCCCCTCGCAGAAACGGAAATAATGAAGTCGGCTAGCAGAGGCTTCACATTAGCATAGGACTTCGCAAGGAGCAACACGTCGTCCGCAAACCGCAAGCTTGATAGTAAAGTGATGTCTGCGAAGCCCAGTGGGACGCCCAAACCACGACGACGGGAGCATGTCTCTTTGACTTCCCGAAAAATGCCTTCGAACACCACGTTGGAGAGCAACGAGCTCAAGGGATCTCGCTGCTTCATGCCGCGTCCCACGCGAAATTCTTGACTGATTCGGTCGGTCTGGACCTGAGCAGTTTGCGCTTCGTACATGCGTGAGACTGATGTGAGATACCTGGCTGGCACCCCTTGTCACCTCAAACCGCCCCAAAATTGCACGATGCTCCACGCTGTCAAAAAGCCTTTTTGAAATCCAATGCTGCGTACCATAAACTTCGATTCCACTCCCAAACTTTCTCCTGTAGTTGAAATGCCGTCCATAAATGATTAACCGTGCTGTGCCCGAATTTAGAAACATCTCCGTCTAGTTTTTTCGAGGCATTGGAAGTCTGTGTTAGAGAACCATGTGGGACTGTTGTATGACAGGAGCACGCCGTAGACGGATCTACCCTTTCTGCGACCTTGCGCCGCGCCGACGCAACGATTGCGTTGTTTGCAGACGCATCGACCCCGAATGTGTCTACACATGGGACGGCACCCAACCAATGTGTCTATAATGTGTCTATAGACGCTTGTGGATGGAATGTACGAACGGACTTTGGCACGGGCCTCATTTATTGGCCTTCTATAAGCAGGTGGGCAACGTAAAGAAACGGTTCTCAAGCAATATGGCATAGCGACCTTAGGCGGTGGCTTACGCGGGCAGCCAGCGCGGCACGCAGCAGTGGAAGCGAGGGCGCTTACGCGCGACCTTACGCGGCCAGCGTACGTACCAATGTCGGCGAAGACGAACCCGTCTTTTTGCGCTGCTCATCTCGTACTTGGCATGGGCCCAAGACGCTGGCCTTCTAGGAGCATGTGGCCTTTGCCCTCCCAGGTTTGCGGGCCTGGCCCGGCCAAGCTCGCAGCGGGCGCCGCCGCGGCGCCCGCCGACGCCGGTGCTTCGCACGGCCCCGCAGCGGCCGCCGCGTCGCCGAGCAACAGCGGCGCCAGGAGCAGCCGCAGCGGCGCCGGCTCGGCGCTCTCGGCCTCGCCGTCGGCGCCCGCGGCACCCGTGGCGCCCGCGCGCTCCGCCTCTCCGTGCCCCTCCATTGGCTGGCCGCGGGCCTGCGCGGCCCAGGCTGCCGCCACTTGGATGACCGCGGGGGGTACTAAAAAGGATCAGCAGGTCATGAGTGGATTCTGGGGGAGGCCTGTGTGTGTACATATATATATGTATATATATATATACACCCATATATGTGGCCTAACATTGCGTGGCTATAGCAACGCCCTGCCCTACATGTGGGATAGCAACGCCCTGCGTGGCTAAAGATCTGGACTACGTGGGTTGCACCCTCTTCGCAGAGTACCCGGAATTATCGAATCCACCCAAGCCGCTCAGGGCTCTTGTCATCCACCGCCAGCCGACAGCTGCGCGATAACAAAAAAAGGACTCTTACTCGAGAAGACACAGCGAAGCAAAGCCGCGGCTTGATCGGGCCGCCAGCGCGGCACACCCCGGGAGAAGAGGACGCGCACGCGCGACATTACGCGGAGAGCTTGCGCGCGAATGCCGGCGCAATCGACCCCGCTTCTTCCGTCGCCTAGCTGGGCCCACGCTGAGCCCCTCGGGAGGGGCGCAACATTCATCGCTGGGGCCGGCGGGCTGCCCAGACATGCGACGTCCGGACTTTTTCTACGCGGGCCCCCCGGAAGTCCCGAGGACCGCTGTTTCATCCCGACTAGACTTCCTTACGGTCCAGGGGCCTGGTGAGGGCCCCCACGCAGACCCCAAACGGGCAAACACTTCTCGTCCCGATGTTTGTTCAGGACGCGAGCATGTCCAGGTATCTACAACAGGGGATACGTCGACCTCTATCCCAGGCTTTGGAAGGTTTTCGAATGGACCAGAAATTTGAGGCCCAACCCTGGGATATACAAAAAGGGGGCGTCAATCCTCGATAGGGTTGCGTCCGAATCGCCCCCTGGGGTGCATCCCAGGGCTTCCCCTTCTCTGAGCGGCCAAACTTTTCGCGCGAACTTGGGGATCGGGGGAGAAAAGTCGCCTGTGAATCTAGAATCCGCCTGGTTCTCCCTCCAGACTCGGCGGCGAGCCCAGGGGGGAAGTGAAGAGGGGCGGGCCTTCTCAGCAGGCTCGGAAGTCCTCCAGCCTCCTGAGTACAGTACAGAAGCCACGCGCCAGCCCTAGGCACGGCGCTTGGGGACAACTGCCGCCACGGAGCCGGGTTTCCGACAGGACGTGCGCGGCCATTCGATTGTGAAACGCATACGTAACGACACAGCGCCCGACTGTGAAGCAGAAAATCAGGTCGCATCACGACTGTGAAGCAGAAAACGAGGAGGGAGAGGGAGAGGAGGACAAGGACGAGGGGGGATTGAAACAGTCTGCTACCACACAGAAACTTACTGCAATAACTTGTAGACACACTGAAAGGCTTTCTCAACCTCCCCGAAGACACAGGAAACCACTCAGAAGGCGCGAGGGCTTCTGAGAAGTCCCGCCGCCTTTTGGAAAGGCCTTCTCCTTCCCACTTCCCCCCTCGCTCGCCGCCGAGCGGAAGGAGCAGGAAGCAGGAAGGAGGTGGCGGGGGGGATGGGGAGGGGCAGGAGGAGGAGGAGGAGGAGGAGGAGGAGTATGAGGAGGAGCAGGAGGAGGAGGAGGAGGAGCAGGAGGAGGAGCAGGAGGAGGAGGAGGAGGAGGAGGAGGAGGAGGAGGAGGAGGAGGAGAGGAGGAGGAGCAGGAGGAGGAGGAGGAGCAGGAGGAGGAGGAGGAATGGAATGGAAGCACGGAGGGATCGGGGCGGAAGCAGGCAGGAGGGGGGAGGGAGGAGGGAAGCAGGCATGGGGCCTTCCCCTTCTCGCTCCCCCGCCCCCTCGCTCGCCGCCGACAGGCGGCCAGGACCGCGACAACGGCGGCGCCGGCGACGGGCGTGGACCGCAGCGGCCGGGGGCCGCCAGGGGCGCCGGCCGAGGGCACGGGGCCCCGGCCTGCCCAAGTTGCCTGGCAGGCCTGGAGGCTCTCTCGGCCCGCCCTGGGCGGCCCCTCCTCCTGCTCCTCCTCCTCCTCCTCCTCCTCCTCCTCCTCCTCCTCCTCCTCCGCCTCCCCCTCCCCCTCCCCCTCCTTCTCGTTTTCCTCCTCTGGCAGGGGTGCCTGGCCCTACAGGGCCCCAGCAGGGCCCCGAGGGGGCCTAAAGCATGGATTTCCTGCAGATTGTTCGGCTTTTGTGTGTGTGTGTGTGTGTGTGTGTGTGTGTGTGTGTGTGTGTGTGTGTGTGTGTGTGTGTGTGTGTGTGTGTGTGTGTGTGTGTGTGTGTGTGTGTGTGTGTGTGTGTGTGTGTGTGTGTGTGTGTGTGTGTGTGTGTGTGTGTGTGTGTGTGTGTGTGTGTGTGTGTGTGTGTGTGTGTGTGTGTGTGTGTGTGTGTGTGTGTGTGTGTGTGTGTGGGGGGGTTCTCGCCTGTTCGGGCCTCCGACGGCCCAGGACGGCCCGAGGGGAAAGGGTGGGGACATCCGCGGACCGCGTATGGAAAGCATCAAGTCGTCGGATGTCTGGGGCAGGGGTCGACCTAAACAGTGGTTGTCGCTTTCGTGTTGTTTTCGTGTTTTGTCGTTCTGTCTTCATTCTGCCTTTGCTGCGAAACGGAAAGAAAGCGAAATCAAAACGAAAACGGTGCACGAAATCGCCCAAACACCGTTTAGCTCGAGCCCTTGTCGGGGGCCAGGATACAGGCCTCTCGGGGGTCGGAAGGGGTCGGAAGATCGCGCGGCATCGCGAATGTCTCGGCGATGTCCCGGCGACGTCGGCGATGCATCGGCGACGTCGGCATGGACAAAATCGAACAGCATATCGAGCCGCATCGCCGATGCACTGACTATGCGGCGCGGTCCACCGACCCCATCTGCTTGAACCCCATCTGGGAGACCCAGACAGGGGCAGGGCGACATCGGACCCTGATCAGTCGGAGTCGGAGATCTCTGAGGTCCGGCAGTTCTGCTTGGATCGCTGTCGGGTTGCAAGGTGAGTTATGCCTGGCCTGATCTAGCCGCTAGCCTACAAATGCCTTGACTGGCTTCGGGGGTGGGGGGGGAAGATGTGGGCTAAGTGGGTTCCGCCCACTTCGCGAAGTTCACAAGCCCACCGAAGCCACCAGGGCACTTGCAGCCCACTTACAACCAAAGATAGGCCCAATGTGACCCACATTGGCATCCGCTTGATCCAAGAAGACGAAACCAAGATCGGGACGAAATCGGACCAGAACAAATCGGGGGTCTCCGAGATCCGGCGGCTCCGAAGGATGTGTCGGGCGCCGCGCTCCGCAACGCTCTCAGAGCGTTGCGGAACGCTCTGAGAATATTCCTGAAGGAACTATTTACCCCTGAACGAACCATTGACCCCTGTCCTAGCCCCGCCCAGGGAGGGGGGGGGCGGGCGGCGCGCGGGGCGCGCCGGACTTGCTGCGGCCCGAAGTCTGTGGCGGCGAAGGTGGTGACAGTCCTCGGCGCGACGCCAGGCGCGCGGCGAAAGGGCAGGGCGGTGAGAGGAATCGGGGATCGAACCTCGGTAGGGGCGAGGAGGAGGAGGAGGAGGAGGAGGAGGAGGAGGAGGAGGACTTCAGGCAATATGGCTTTGGGTCGGCTCAGCCCCCGTTGGTGGGCCCAGGAAGGTGAGGAGGGTGAGGGGGATCGAGGGAGATCGAGGGAGGAAGAGGGATGGGGGGTCGAACGTCGATGGGGACGAGGAGGGCGACGGGGGGCGAGGCGTGAGGCGCTGGAGGTGAGGGGAGGAGGCCCAGACATGCTCGCGTCCTGACAAACATCAAATCTTGCGCTGGAGGTGAGGGGAGGAGGCCCAGACATGCTCGCGTCCTGACAAAAATCAAATCTTGGGCGACAAAGGGCCCTTACCGGGCCCCAGGACCGCAACAAGAGCGGCCGAGGATGAAGAACCGATCCCGGGGAACGGGTCGGGACTTCTGGGGACCCCGTGCGGAACAAATCAGGACATCGCGTGTCTGGGAAGGGGTGTGTGTGCTTTCGGGGCCTTCTTGGGGCGGTGTTGGGCCGTCCTGGGACCCCTCTGGGAGGTCTCTCGGGCTGTGGGGAAGCTTTCGGAGGCGGCCCGCCGAATGCTGACTCGTGAGGAGGAGGGGGTGAAGAGGAGGATGGGAAGGAGGAGGAGGAGGAGAAGGAAGAGGAGGAGGAGGAGGAGAAGGAAGAGGAGGAGGAGGAGGAGGAGGAGGAGGAGGAGGAGGAGGAGGAGGAGGAGGAGAGGGAGGAGGAGGAGGAAAGGGACCAAGGGGAGAGTGTAGGGACAAGCTAAGTCATTTTGCGCGCTCGCGTCACACCTGACATCCCCACTTCCTCCCTGTTGCGCCGATTGCTCTGCCTGGGGACGCGTGTCATAGCGGAACTGCAATTCCAAAACAGACCCCCTGATCGTGTTATGCGAAATCGGACACGGGAAACTCCGTGCATCGGAGAGAAGGTTGAGCAGAAGGATGGGCAGGGGGAAAGGAGGACGAGAAGGGGGAGGAGGGAAAGAAGGAAGATGACGAGGACAGACAGCAGCCCAGCAGAAAGGAAAGGAGCGGGAGGAGCAGGAGGACCAGGAGAAGGCAGAGGAGGCGAAAGGAGGAGAGCGGCAACAACGAGAAGAGCTCGGATCCGAAAAAGCTGCCCGCGCTGGGGCGAGAGCGCCATGCTGAACGACGGGAGCAGAGCCGCGATCCTAAAACTAAGGCTCACGCTGCGGCGGGAGCACCATGTTGAAGGACCCAGGACGTGCGGACTGGAAACAAACACATGGAGCAAAACATCTCTTGGCCGGGACCGGAGCGTGGAACATGGGATCCTTCAGGCCCCTTTTGGGGTGAGAGGCCGGGACCCTTTCGAGGGTCTCCGAAGGGCTCCTCGGGCCGCCCCCACCCACTACACCGGACTCACTTCTATAGCGCTCACTTCTATAATGCTCACTTTGAAATTGTGGTCCGGAAGGGGTCGCACATGCAGGCACATGCCGCACAGTCGCATGCACATGCCCATGCAAATATACAAAAGCCTCAACCGCATTGCCGCACATGCGCGCACATGCCACACCGTCCGACGCACACTCGAATGCACGGTCAAGCAAAACTCTGAAAGCATAGACGCACATGCCCGCACATGCCGCAGAGATGTCGCAGGCGATAGTGGCCTGACCACCTGAGCTCGGGGCATTTCGCAACCCAGAGTTGCGAGGATGTCTCAGGCAAGCGTGGCCGGACCACCATGGGGCAAGGCATCTTGGAAACCAGAGTGGCGAGGATGTCGCTGGTCAAGGTGACCAGACCACCATGGGGCAGGACACCTCCGAGGTCTGAGTTGTGAGGATGTCTCAGGCGAAAGTGGCCTGACCACCATGGGGCAAGAGATCTCTGAGGTCAGAGTTGCGAGGATGTCTCTGGCGAGAGTGGTCTGACCACCTCAGCCCAGGGCGTCTCGGAACCCAGAGTTGCGAGGATGTCTCAGGCAGGAGTGGCCTGACCACCTGCTCAGGGCATCTCGGAACCCAGAGTTGCGAGGGTCTCAGGCGAAAAAGGCCGAGACACTATGGAGCAGGGCATCATTGAGGTCAGAGTTGCGAGGATGTCTCAGGCGAAAGTGGCCTGAACACCTCAACTCAGGGCATCTCGGGCGAGGATGTCTAAAGCGAAAGTGGTCTAACCACCTCAGCTCAGGGCGTCTCGGAACCCAGAGTTCCGAGGATGTCTCAGGCGAAAGGGGCCGAGACACTATCGAGCAGGGCATCATTGAGATCAGGGTTGCGAGGACGTCTCAGGCGACAGTGGCTGACCCATTCGTAAGATCGGGTGCTGCCCCACGACCTCGCGCAAAGCCTTGTGAAGGTGGTGCAGTAATGCCTTGTGCACCTGGTCGTTCCAGCATTGTTCCGGCGTGCCGCTCCTGCCGGCGAACGCGGGCAGGGCGAGCGCTGCGCGCGCCTGTGCGGAGCGTGAGCGGGGCGCCCCGTCTGTCGGGGCCGCGCAATCAAGCGAACGCTCGTCCGCGCGCGGCTTGCGCGCGGACGCGAACGCGCCGGCGCCCGGAGACGAACGCCGGCCCCGGCATTCTTGCACGTCCCGCACATGCCCCGCACAGGTACGCACAGTATTCGCACAGGCCGAGCTCGCCAGTGGCCGAGCCAGGCCAGCGATTCCGAGATTCCCTGAGCTCGGGCCGTCAAGCCACTTTCGCCTGAGACATCCTCGCAACTCTCACCTCCTCCTCCTCCTCCTCCTCCTCCTCCTCCTCCTCCTCCTCCTCCTCCTCTTCTCCTCTGGCCGAGCCGAACAGGCGGGCGGGCCGGCCGAGCCGGGGGCGTCCGCCTCCTCCGCCCCCCCCTCCTTCCCCCCCACCCCCTGCTTCTCCGGCCGAGCTGAGAAGGCGCGCGGGAGAGTGTTTTACTAGGAGGGCACGCCGCCGCCAGCTCACGAACCGGGCGAAGAACCGCCCCCGCCAGCAGCGGGCGAGTCTAAACGCACAACAAACTCTTTCAGGAAGCCCTGGCACGCCCCAGGTTAGCTCTGCGAAGGCCAGGAGGCATTGGAGGCACAGGGGTCCCAGACAGCTCCTAGGGCATGAGCGTGCATGTGCATTGGGATGTGCACGCATGTGCGCCCGCGCGCTTCACCGCATGTGCGTGCATGTGCGGGCCCGCGCGGCCTCCCGAAGAGAGGTTGCACAGGCATGTGCGTGCATGTGCCGATGACAGATCTGCGATTCTCGAACACCTCCCGCATGTGCAGGCATGTGCGCGCATGTGCGTCGGACTGTGCGTGCATGTGCGTATGATGGATACACCAAAACACAGCGCACATGCCCCCGCACATGCCCGGGCACGACGTGCACAGTAGGAAGTCCATCCAAGAAGGGCCGCACAGGGCTGGCACATGACTGGCACATGCCGCGCACATGCGCGCACATGACAACGCAAAAACGCCCGCACATACGCCCACCCAGGGGTATAGATGTGAGTGCGGTGTAGCCCCTACTCTCCTCATCCTCCCCCACCCCTGCCCCCCATCCCCCGCCGCCCCGTCTCCTGGTGGTACCCCGTCCGTGACCCGACAGTGATGTCAGAGACCCGCAGCTACCCAGCATTGGTCTGTCAGTGACCTGTCGTTTCCCAGCCAGTGAGCTGGCAATGAAGTATCAGTGATATCTCAGTGACCTGTCGTTGACCTGCCAGTGACCTGTCAGCGGACTGGCAGTTCGCTGTCGTGAGCTGTCAATGCCCTGTAAGATGTCAGTGACCTGTCAGTGCCCTGTCATTGAGCTGTCAGTGGCCTGTCAGTGGACTGACAGTGTGCTGTCAGTGAGCTGTCAAGGCCCTGCAGTAAGGTGTCAGGGACCTGTCAGTGACCTGTCAAAGACCTGCCATTGCGCTGTCAGTGGCTTGTCGGTGAGCTATCTGTCCGTGAGCTCAGTGGGCTGCCAGTGATCTAACAGTGTCCTGTCAGGGAGCTGTCAGTGAGCTATCAGTGCGCTGCCAGTGACCTGACAGTGGCCTGCCTGGAAGCTGTCAGGGAGCTGTCAATGAGCTGCCTGTGGCCTGTCAATGAGCTGTCAGAGAGCTGTCAATGGCCTGCCAGTGAGCTGTCCGTGAGCTGTCAGTGGGGGGGTAAAATACAATGCAGTCCCGGCCCAAGAACAACTCGGACCCATCCCGTGCAACAGAAAAAAAATAACAATACGCAGAAGGGGCGCTACTCTCAGAACTTCTTCCGGGGAGACAGGAGAGTGGCATTCACATTGAGCAATTCTTCAGTCAACATCGAGTCGGGAAATCGGATCGAATCATAGTATGCGTCGGATCGGGCTGCATCGGCACGGAGTCGAAATCATGTCGGATCGGCCGCGCCAAGATGCACAAGAACGCCATGCAAACATCGGGATGCATCGAATCGTCGGAACATTGGAATCGAACCAGATCGAGCCTGCCAGAACCAGCATCGCATCGGATCGATCGGATCGAAATCGGCCCCAGGGAGGAGGAGGATCGAAGACTGAATGTGTGTTTCTGTGCTTGAAGCCTTCTTGGGGTTCTGGGGGAGCTTCTTGCCCCCAACGGCAGGATCCGCCCAGAAACTCTGGTTGGGAGACTCGGGTTGGCTTGACGGCGCCGTCAGAGAAATGACCTGTCGCCTCAGGCAAATTCACCAGCATGGCGTTTGACCCCACCCCCCAACCACCACTCTCCGCTGCCTTTTCGAGCAGCGCTGGGCCCAAAAGCCTGGATTTCCTATCAGGCCTCGCCACCCCCACCGCCCCTCCCCGCCAATGCAAGTACACTGACCAGCGTCTGCAGAAAGACTGCCTCCAGACTGCGTGCCCCCCCTCTTTTGATAGCCCCCTGTCGAGCGAACCAATTTCAGAGACTACTTCGATCCCCGCGGTGGTTGCTGAGAGAAGAGAGGGGCTATAAGTGGATGCTAAGGTTGGCTATACCTGGCCAAACCTGGCTTATAGGTGGCCTAAAAATGCCATGGATTACAAATGCCCTGAACGCCTTGGGTGGGCTCGGTAACTCCGCTAAGTGGGCGGAGCCCGCTGAGACCAGAACTCAGCCCAGCCCCAAGCCACTCAGGGCACTTCTAACCGCTTGTGAGCTGGGCTAGGCCAGGCTTAACACACCTGAGCATACACTGAAAATCTGTTTTTGTAGAAATCCACCTAGCAGATCATCGCGGTGATCCAGGTAGTCTCACCATTCCGAATCCCCCCCAAACAAAGGCCGTGCGACCCAATGTTGGAAGCCGCAGAAGGGCTTCCATTTTGGACGCCCGACATGGGTACCGAAAAAATGGGTACGATGCCCAACAACAAATGTTGTCCCAAACCAACAGCGGCCGCTGTTGGGCAGGCGGCCTCCTGCCTCGAATGGACGCAGGCCGCGGCGGCGTGAACAGCGAGGCCTGCTCAAAATGAACAGGAACTGCTGTTGGGCATCGTACCCATTCTTTCGGTACCCATTTCGGGCGTCCAGATCCATGGGCTCAGGCCGCTTCGGGGGGGGCCCAAGCCACTCAGGGCACTTCTAACCCGCTTGTGAGCTGGGCTAGGCCAGGCTTAACACACCTGAGCATACACTGAAAACCTTTTTGTTGTAAAAATCACCGCGGTGATCCAAGTAGACTCACGATTCCGAATCCCCCCCAAACAGAGGCCGTGCGACCCAATGTTGGAAGCCGCAGAAGAGCTTCCATTTTGGACGCCCGACATGGGTACCGAAAAAATGGGTACGATGCCCAACAACAAATGTTGTCCCAAACCAACAGCGGCAGCTGTTGGGCAGGCGGCCTCCTGCCTCGAATGGACACAGGCCGCGGCGGCGTGAACAGCGAGGCCTGTTCAAAATGAACATGAACTGCTGTTGGGCATTGTACCCATTCTTTCGGTACTCCAGATTTCGTAATAAAAGGGAGGGGGTCTGGACCCTCCAACACAAGCCATTTCAGACCTCCCCCGTGGGAGAACCCTCCAAAACATCGTCCCCAGACCCCCCCAGGCCCTCCAAGATAGCCTGGAAGAGACCCCCCCCGAAATGAGACCCCCCTCCCTTTATTACGAAATCTGGAGTACCCATTTAGGGCGTCCAGATCCATGGGCTCAGGCCGCTTCGGGGGGGGCCCCCGGCGACTCCCCCACACCCGCGCGAACCCCTCCGCGCGAGCCGCCCGCGGGCAGCAGGCCCCCTGCCGCGGTGCGCAGCCCCCCCCCCCAAGGAGAGACACCTGCCCTCGATGTCATATTCATCGTCGACCATCCTCCTCATCGCCACTCTCCTCATCCAACCCCTGCAGCCAGCGCTCGAGCTGAACCGTGCTTTTCGTTTTTTCGTTTCGCTTTCGCGTTCCTTCGTTCTGCCGTCGTGTTGCCTCTGCTGCCAAACGAAATCAAAACGAAAACGGTCCACGAAATCGCCGAAACACCGTTCAGCTCGAACCCTGCATGCCATCTGCACCTCCGAATCCTGTTATTCTCTACCGGTTGCAGCGCCACGGTGCCAGACGTCTGGTGCCCTTCTGATTCGCGCGGGTGCCACGCGAAGGGCAACCGCAATCAAGCACGCCCCCTATCCTCGTTCCTACTTGACTGCTCTCATCTCGCCTGCTCATCCACCTGCCTCCTCCCCCCGCATCGTCTTCCCCCCTTCTTTCCTCTCTCCTTATACTCTCCCCTTGTCGTCGGTCTCATCCCCCTCGTCCTCCGAATCGTCGTCTGTTCCCCCTTTCCACTCCTCATATCTCCTCGACCCGCTGCTCATATACCCAATGAGCAAACAATATCAACATCAACTTCCCCATCCTGCTCCTCCTCTCCCTGCTCCCCATCGACGTCCTCCTCCGCCCCCTTTGCCCCTCTCGTCGTCCTTACACTTTCTCATCTTTAGCTCGAAGTGGCAGGCGGGGATTTGTCCACATCCACCATCTGGGGAGCCAACGTCTTGTGACCCCAAGAAGGGCGGCATATGTGCATACGTATATGTATGTACGGATGTGTGTAGTTATGTGTATCTATATATATATATGTATATATGAATCTGCTTGGGACCCCAGGGGCCCAAACGCATCCATATCTTCCCCCTGCCGACGTCCCCGAGGATCGATCCTCGAGGCGGTGGCTACAGTCAACCCGTATAAGAAGGACGCACGTTAATATGCAAGGGCCTTGGACAACCATGTCAACACCTTGCAAGCGGGACGCGGCCAGCGAAAGCGGCCAAAGGGGAAGGATGCAAGGGTACAAAGCGGGTTGACTGTATGGATGGCTACCTAAAGACCCAACTTTGGGTTGGGGGGGCACGGGCTCCACATTTGTTTTTCTATGGTTCCCGACGCCCCCCACTGGGAACGGGCAAATTGGGCCTTCGGGTTGGGTTGGGGTGACTTGGTGGGTAATAAATGGATACGTCCCCGCCCCGGAAGACGGACTACCCACAGGACGCCCCGGGCCACCACCGCCACGGATCGTGTCGTGACAACCCGAGCGCTGGCTTCTGACACCGCGTGGGTCGTTCAACCTTATACTACGGTCGGCGGCTTTCCGATCGCAAGATCGTTCCATGGCGGCCAATTCTGGGCCGCTGGCGGCGTTCAAACTTGAAGGCCCGCGCTACGGTCGTCGAGGCATCCACGCGACACAACACCAAACTGTCGTAAAATTAGGAGGCACGCTGGACTACGCGGACTTACGCCGGCTTCAATGGGATTGCGGTGCGGACGCGGCCGCAAGACACCCTCGCAAGAAGCCCAGCCCTGAAGGCCCGCGCGGGGGCCGCGCCTCATGGGGGATCCTGGAGCACCCTGAACGCAGCAGCTCCTTCCACGGCCACGGGAGGTCACCGCGCAGCGCGCGGAGCGAAGAAGCCCAGGGCACCCCGACGAAAGGCACCCGGTTCCTTGATCGCGCCATTACTGTAAGCCGGACCAGAAGGAATCACAAACCAGATTAGGACAATTTTCAACAAGGGTGATTCCAGCGCCGATTCGACATTTCACCTCCCAGGAGCTGCGTAAAAGAAGAGGGCACGATAGAGGGACGGCGGCAAGCGAGGAGCGGGGGAGAGGCATACCGCGCAGGTGGGCCCCTGCCCGGGCTGGAACGCAGGGATAGACCGGGGCCCCCAAGCACCATAAGACAAGGCCAAGACAGGAACAACAGGGCTCAGGGCTTAGGGCTTAGGAGCGGGGGAGGGGCCAGCCGAGAAGGTGGGTCCCTGCCCCGGTTGAAACGCAGGGATCGACCGGGGCCCCCAAGCACCAGAAGACAAGGCCAAGATAGGAACAACCTCGGACAAAGGTAGATCGGGGATATCTGAGATCCGGTGGTTCTGCAGGAGGTATCGGGTGGTCGCGGCCTTCTCAGAGCATTCCGGAGCGCTCAGGAACGACATGTATCCCTGTCGTGGCCGCCCCCCAAGCTGCCTCGGTTTAAACGCAAGGATCGACTGGGGCCCCCAAGCACCAGGAGGCTCACATTGCTCCCCGATCATCAAGACCTGCTCAGCCCCATGAGCTCAAAATCCTCAGGGGCAACATCAAGGGGGACCAGCTCAGGGGCGGGGGAACATCGACCTGGAATCGGCGATACATCGCCGATTGATCGGCAATGGGCCCCAGATGGCAAATCCGCCGCTCCTGGGCGGGGTGGGCTATCGGGCCCATATCTGCGATTGATAGGCGATTGGGGGTTGATCTCTGATGCAGGGTTCCGGGACCCCGCCCCCTCATGCTGATGTCTTCGGGCCCCCCCCCTCCCCCCCGCGGGAAGGGCCCCCCGCTGTGATTGTAGCCCTGTGGGCGTTGCGAGGAGGGTGGACACCATACCACTGCTGAATCGTCGACGTTCCGAGGTCTCCCTCAGCGTCCCAGAAAAAAATCGAATTATCTGCACCTTCGCCGTCGTCGTCGTTTGCCTTTGTCGGTGACGAGCCCGGGGGGAAGTGAGAAGGGGCGGGCCTTCTCAGAAGGCTCGGAAGTTCCCCAGCCTTCTGAGAAGTCTTCTCCTTCCTGGAAGACACAACAAAACTTCACAGGAGGCCCGAAGGTTTCTGAGAAGTCCGGCCGGCTTCAGAGAAGGCCTGATCCTTCTCGCTTCCCTCCCTTGCTCGCCGTCGACCTTGCATCCCTCTCCCCTCCCTCTTTCCTCCCTTGACTCCTCCTCCTCCTCCACCTCCACCTCCTCCTCCTCTTCCGTCTTCAATCGCTGCCTTCCGCTCACTTGGAAGAGGAAGCGAGGCAGAGAGGAAAGGGAGAAAGGTATAGGAACGAGAGAGCCAAGGAACGTGGAGGGAGGGTCGAAGGGAGGGAAAAGAGGGAAGGGGAAGAGGAGCAAACTCGACATCGACGTCTTTCGCCGTCGTCCCCTCTCTGTGGATGTACCCCCACCCTGAAACCCATCCCACCTGAGCGACGATCAAAAACGGGTCTTACGCCAGATGACGCAGCGACCTTACGTGGGGGCTCACGCCGGCCGCCAGCGCGGCACCCCACATTGAGGACGAGGGCGCGCTTCAGCGCAACCTCACGCGGGCAGCTTACGCGCCAATGTCGGCGAAGTCGAACCCGAGTTCGTTAGTCGCTCACCTGTGTGGGGGGGGGGGCTGGATCAGATCGCCCCCAGCCCTTGGCCTGCCCCCAGCCCAGCGGTGCCCCTGATACGTCTATCACCCCCCCAGCGTTGCCTCCTCCTTCCCAGAGGGAGCCCCGCGGTCCAGTCGGTCTCCGTCCAGTGGCCGCTCGCGCCCTCAGGCCCTCGTCGGCGATCAAAGGGGGGGGAGGAATGGCAGGGAAGGGGGGGGGGGGGGGCGAACGACGAGGACGAGGAAGTGGGAGAAGAGGGCGGCGAAAAGGGCAGGCAAGGAGGAGGGGCGGCGAGGAAGCGAGGTGGGGATGAACGAAGAGGACGAGCAGTGGGGGAGGGGGACGAGGAGAGAGAGAGGAGAGGGGCGGGCTGGTAAAGGGGGGGGGGGGGGCGGGAGAGAAAATCAGGGCGGACGCATGCATGTCTGATAAACGCTTGGCCTGATCGTCAAGATCGTCCGCAGCACGCGTGAGAAACGCCGCACATGCACGTTCGCCTACACCTCGTTGTGATTACGACTGTGTTCGAAGCCGACGGAAGGGGACACGACGATGAATGCACCCACAGTTCGGAATGCGGAGACCAACCGCTCTCGATGAGGTGCTAAGGGGGATACGGATAATCGATGTGAGGCGGGCAGAAGACGAGGAGGGGAAGGGAGGAACGAAGGAGGGAGGAAAGCAGGAGGGGAAGAAGGGGAGGAGGTGCAGTGGAGGAACAGCAAAAGCAAGAGCACGGGCGGTAGCCTGTCGCGATGTGCCTCCGGGGCCCGCGCAAGTCCTCTGTGACGTTCCCGGAGGTGCAGCGCAGCAACCTCCTGCGAGGGCGGCCGCCCGGAAAGAGACACACCTGCAGGGATATATATATATATATATAGAGAGAGAGAGAGAGAGAAAAAAAAAAAAAGAGAGAGAGAGAGAGAGGTCTGCAGACAGGCCGCGGTGGGCAGGGCCCCACGTGGCATTTTAAGGAGCAGCGCCTGGGCAGACCGAGCGATGAATGAACCGAGTGCCCCTGATAACCGCACCCTGGGGGATAATAGAATTCGGGGTCCAGGAGGGATGAGAAGCCAGTCTCCCGGCAACTCTGAAGTATAGATGTGTGGCTTGCTCAGGCAGAGCCTCCCTAGTTCGACGCCCGAATTGTCCAGGACAACTGCTGTACGGGGTAGCTCTGAACCGGGTCCTCGAGGCGCGAGTCCTGACTGCCCCCAGCCCTGATGATTCGTGACGGTTGGACGCCAGAGTGATCGGGGATAACTGCGGTCTGGGGTAACTCCAGTTTGGGCCCCCGAGGCGCGAACATGTAGCTATCCCTGACCAACCCCCGGCCCTGATGATTCGGGGCTCTGACCTGGCGCTCTGGCGGGGCTCCCCTGAAGGAGGAGGGAGGAGACGGAAAGGAGGGAGGGAGGAGGAAGGATTCCGGACAGAAGACACAAGTTTCGGACCTATCAAATTATATGTGCAAGACCTTGGAATTCTTGGTCGTTTTGGCTTCCGCGTGCAAGAGAATACTCATGGTGGGCGTTCTCCGGCGATTGTCAAACACGGGATACAACAGCTCTGGGGTGCGGAGAGTGGGGGGGAGGGGCGAGGAGGGTGGGGAGAAAAAGAACAGCGGAGTGAAGGGACGAAGGAGGGAGAAGAGAGGAGGGAGGAGGGAGGAAAAGGAGGGAAAATGAGGGAGAACTGCAGAACATTTAGGTATAAGACGACTACGCGCGGCGCTAAGGCGAGAGATGATAAGGATACTTCTGCTACTCATGATAAGACGATTAAAGCTAAGATTCAAACTTGGCTCGGTGGATCATCAACTTCGGCCCCCCCGACCCACCCGCCGACCAAACGTGTCTTGCCCGGAGAAAATCAACATAGGATTTGTGACGGAAGGTGATTATGTCTTATCTGGGGCATGGGGTTACACAGCATGGTAAACTGGAAAACATGCCCTCCGAACAGGAGAGGAGAAGGAGGAGGGGAAGGAGGAGGAAGACGAAGAAACTGAGAGGGACTTGTTTTTCTTCTGCGAGTCGTGAGGCAGGACCGAGGGCGCAAACAGTTGAGCCCACGAGGGAGCAGTGTGAGCGACCTCCCTGAAACAAACATGAGTCCGACGATGTTCGTCGGGAAACGCGGCGGGCAACTGGCGAAAAGAAGGAGGAAAAGGAAGAGGAGAAAGGAGGAGGAGGAGCAGAAGGAGGAGAGGGAGGGGGAGGAGGATGGGAAGGAGGAGGAGGAGGAGGAGGAGGAGGAAAAGGAGGATGAGAAGCAGAAGGAGGAGTATGAGGAAAAGGAGGAGGAGGAGGAGTGAAAGGAGGAGGAGAGGGAGGGGAAGGAGGAGGGAAAGAAGGAGGAGGACGAGGAAAGGGGGGAGGAAAAGGAAGAGGAGGACCAGGAGGAGGAGAAGGAGGAAAGGGAGGAGGAGGAGGAGGAGGCAGGGAGGAGGGAGACAAAAATTCGAAGTGAACTGTCATGTTCGTCCTTGGGGAGCCCGCTTCGGGCCCCGCGACCGTCACACATCGGCCCGAGGTCGGAAACGGCTGGGCAGGACAAAACCTGGGAGAACTTCGAGTACCGGCTGTACACGTCGGTCGGACGAAGTAGATACAGTCAAAACGTAAACAAAAAGACGGGTGGTAAGGACGGAATAACCTTGCATGCCGAAGCTTGTATTTTTTGGGCGGCGGGCGACTAGTGAAAACGGCAAAGGATGGGCCACATGGGCAAGGACACAAGGGCACCCTAGATGAAGGCGCGCGTCCTTACTAGGTGCGATGACTGTAAAATCATGAAATCCGCCGACCCTGTCGGCGTGTGTGAGGGGCTTTTCCGTTCGAGCCGTCATCTCCGTCATTCTTTGTAATCGTCGTCTCTGTCGTTCCCTTTCCCTGGTACCCCTCTTCCCCTGGGCTCCTCCCCGCTCCCCTCGCCCTTTCCCAGGGCCTCCTCCTCAAGCGCGCTAGCCAAACCGACCTTCAGCAACGTCGTAATTGATTCGAAGGGAAGCCCCTTCCCTTTCCCTTCCCCGACGGGGGGGGGAGGGGGGGTCCCGGGGGGGGTCCCGGGGGAGTCCCGGGTCAGATACGACGCCCCCCCCCCGTACCGACCTTGAGCAACGTCGTAATTGAGTCGAAGGGAAGCCCCTTCCCTTTCCCTTCCCCGACGGGGGGGGGAGGGGGGGTCCCGGGGGGGGTCCCGGGTCCCGGGTCAGATACGACGCCCCCCCCCCGTACCGACCTTGAGCAACGTCGTAATTGAGTCGAAGGGAAGCCCCTTCCCTTTCCCTTCCCCGACGGGGGGGGGAGGGGGGGTCCCGGGGGGGGTCCCGGGTCAGATACGACGCCCCCCCCCGTACCGACCTTGAGCAACGTCGTAATTGAGTCGAAGGGAAGCCCCTTCCCTTTCCCTTCCCCGACGGGGGGGGGAGGGGGGGTCCCGGGGGGGGTCCCGGGTCAGATACGACGCCCCCCCCCGTACCGACCTTGAGCAACGTCGTAATTGAGTCGAAGGGAAGCCCCCCAGCATGCCTCGACAGTGGCGACAGTTTCACAGATCGCAGCCCCCCAGGGATGGCGAGGTCTAATTTGAATCCGCCCGTGGCGTCATTGTGCTGGGCCCCCCAGCAGGCCTCGACAGTGGCAACAGTTTCACAGATCGCAGCCCCCCAGGGATGGCGAGGTCCAATTTGAATCCGCGCGTGGCGTCACTGTGCTGAGCCCCCCCAGCAGGCCTCGACAGTGGCGACAGTTTCACAGATCGCAGCCCCCCAGGGATGGCGAGGTCTAATTTGAATCCGCCCGTGGCGTCACTGTGCTGGGCCCCCCAGCAGGCCTCGAAACTGTCGCGCCCCAGGTCCGTGGGGAACGGCGAGCCTGGATGTTGACCCGCTATCGGGAGCCAAAATATATTCCCATCCGCCACCTGTCGATGGCCTCAAGCACAACTCCGAGGGGGGAGGACGTGCTGCACTCCGGCGGAGGAGGGACGCAACTAGAGGCTGGGTGAGACTCCATTGGAGCCGCTGCGAACCTCCGCGGCCCTACTGAATCATACACGTGATTTCGACCGGACTTCGTCCAGATTTCGACGATCCGACGAAATCTGGACGACATCCCTGGAACCGCCGGGCGTGTGGGGACCCTCTGAGGCTCCCGTCAAGGATGAAGTCGGGCGTGCCCCCCTACAGGGGGATTCTCGACGAAAAATAACAAATACTCCAAAAATGCTCCAGAATGGTCAAAAAATACTCAGAAAATAGTCCCCACTCTATTTTTTGACTACTTTTGACTGTTCCTCCTGTAGAGGGACAATGCCCGACTTAAATCAAGGACCACACGACAGAGAGGGAGGCGGGTGCCGAGGCCGACGAGCGGAGGAATCGGCAGCCAGGGAGCCCACAGAGGACGCACGCAAGCGCCCAACCACGCAAACGAGTCTGGCCCCCCGGGTACGCGAGAACAGCCTCGTGGCGAGAAGGTTCGTGCACTGTGTACTTTTCGGGGACGGACAGACCCCGCTTTGGTAAAACGTGGTTTAGTGAAAACGACCTCGGGCCCGAACCTGGCGGGCGCAAGCCCGGAAAATGACGGCCGCGGCGCCCTCTCGAGAACCGAAAACGGACAATTCACCAATCGACACGTCAGGGTAGGAGGTCTATCCACCTCCGAGTACTTCCGGGACCAATGCGACGTGGATTCGTGTGCGTGTGCGTCCTCCTCTCGCTCCTGAGCAGCCGCGGCAGCTGTGCAGAGGCCGCGCGGACATCCAGGGGACGGCGGCTCTGTGAATAGCTCTCCGTGCGGCCAGCGCTGCAAGAGGCCGTACTCTGCTCTTGATGCAGTACGGTCACCGCCGTGGCGAGAGCGCGGTCACGGCGGTCGGAGGGCCCCACGGAAATTCAACACGGTGGCAAGCCCTTCAACAGAAACACCCCTTTCGCTGATGCAAGGCTACGGCCATCGATGCGGCGAGAGCGACGCTCCACTGGACGGAGCTTCTGCGGAAATCCTCTGATGTTGCCAACGCTGCAACCATACCACACATTTTGATGCGCCAAAATCACTCGGATTGGATAAATAACCTTGGAAACAACCTTCGCAGGCTATACTGTGCGAATCTGTTTTCTCTCGAAAAATTAACTAAAACCACGCGCGCTTCGCGCGCGCTTAGGTTCTAGTCGACCCCGTAGACGGTGTCAATTTCCATGGGACCTTTCCATGTGGCTTCGGGGTTCCTCCCTTTCACCCATGCGTGATTTTCGGGCGGATGCTGCGAAGTTCAAGGAAGGGTTTGGCCTGTAGCGTACCAGCGGCGACCGACGACAACGACGAGGACAGACCACCGACGATCAACATCATTGTCAACTGATCCACGTGTGCGGGAGAGGCGTTTCCGGAGCGTCTTGCGGGCGTCATGGGCGCGTCCTCGGGCCTCGACATTGGGTGGGCGGGTCGGGGGGTGCAGCCAGGGCCACGTGTCCCGAAGAGCTGTTCTGGAGCATGGAGGACGAAGGGCTTCTGGCGGGTTTCTGAGGGTCTGCGTAGAGGCCTCCTGCGAGCTCGGTGGGGGTTCCTCGGGAGCTTCTCGGGTCTTTCTGGAGCCTTCTTGGCGGCTTTTTGGGGCGTCATGGAGGCCTCCTGGGAGTCTCTTGGGGCCTTCTGGGGGCCTCTTGGGGCAGAGGGCGCCTCTGTTCGGGCATTTGGGGGGCTCTCTGGAGCCTCCTGGGAATATCTTGGGCCAGCTTGGGAGCCTCTGGAGGGGTCCGGGGCCCCTTCTGAACCCTCTTGGAGCCCTCAAGGCCCCCCCAACCCCCATGCGAACCAAAGGTCGCAGTTCTGGGCCCATCCCGTAACCGTGTCTGAGTTGTGGGTTAGAGGCTTCTCGGATGTTCGCTGGGATGATATCGTGGGATGCCTCTCGGGGGGCCATTTTTTCTCACACCTCGCAGGATGAGGCGACAAAATGAGTCCCACACACCTCCCAAGAAAGCAGTCCGCTTACGCCCGAGAGTGTCAGAGGCCAAACGCCTGCAGACAGCGTTCATGGCGTGCTTGCGCTGAAAGAACCACAATGGCTTGTGTTCTCAGCAGAAGGTGCCGGGGATGCAGCGGCCAGCACTGTACATGAGCTGCTACCTTGGGCTGCAGCTCGCTGAACACTGCTGCGTGAAAATGCGCTGCTACCTTGGGCTGCAGTGCCACGCAACTAAAAACCCCAGCATTATTTCTCCCACACGGCACTTGAACAAAAGATGGACATGCTTGGTACGCGCATTAATTTTCTGTCCTGAGTCCTGAGTCCTGAGTCCGCTTAAAATGCGAGGTAGCGCTTGCAGCGCAAATCGGGATTGGTGACGGAGGAATGGTCCCCACCGCCGAGCAAACCACCGACTGGATACCCCGACTTGCCCAAGTTCTTGACAAACATATTCAGGTAGGGAATGCCTCCGCCAGTACGGCCCCATACGGTCTTCAATTTAATGCTGTGGAAGCTCATCCAGCCCGTTCCCTTTCGATGGGCCTGCGGCTGCTTGGCCGTGTAATGGAAGCCGCCCTCGCGCACGTCGTCCGCCCACTTGCCGGTCACATTAATGGATACAAAGTAAACGTCCGAGCATGCGTCGCCACAACGCTGTGCCACGGCCGCGACGGCCAGGAGCGTCGCGCTCTCCGCTGCAAACTGTGGGACCTCGACCAGCAAGTGCCTGCCGTCTTTGAGGAGATCAAAACGCTCCCCGTGTATATTTACCAGATGAGGATCCCCGACTGCAGCAGCAATCGCTGCAGGCGTACGGGCTGGCGTAGGGGCAGGCGTCGGCGCCAGCGTAGGTACAGGCGTCGGCGCCAGCGTAGGTGCCGGCGTCGGCGCCAGCGTAGGTGCAGGCGTCGGCGCCAGCGTAGGTGCAGGCGTCGGTGAGGGGGTCGCGGGCGTCGGTGCTGGCGTTGGCGAAGCCGCCACGTAGAGCTCGGTTTTAGCCACGGGACTCGAGGGGCCGGGAATGCCACCCTGCCAGTTATAGAAAGCACCAACTGCGTAATACCAATTATCGCTGGCCACGCTCCCGTCCAAGAGCGCGTACTGCGATCCTTCCAACCCTCCCCACCACTGGGTTGTGTAATGGATAGACACCGCCTCATAGCCTGCAACTGGCCTGGTTGACTGCCGCCCTGAAGTAACTGGGTTGAGCGATTGCTTCCATACTTGGTCCTGCAATCCAGAACCTGGCCAGCTCAATTTGAACGTGAACTTCCCGTCGCCGCTGCGAAAAGCTTCCAGTTGATCCAGAATGGCATAATTGTCATTTCCAGGATCTCCGGCGTTTTTCGACCACTCCCCACTGCTGAATATATGCGGGTACGTTTGCCGAGCCAGTAACGTCCAAACCGTAGTGCCCGTCGTACCCTTCGGGGAACTGACGCGGCCGAGGTCGAAGCTGGTGGCGTCCGTGCCGAGCTGCAGGAGCACGGTGTCCTGCTGAGGGTCGACCTCCGCCGCTGCGGTCGTGCCGAAGACGCCGTGGGCGAGGAGATGGATCAGCAAGCACGCTCGGGCAGGCGCCGTCCGGGCCATCGTGGCGCGCACGTCAGAAAGGCAGGCTCGAGGAAAAGTTAGTCCGGTGAGGCGCGTACGTTGGCGTATCACGTTTGAGCCAGATGGCTCTAGCCAAAATGGCTACGGACCTCTCGGGGGGCCTTTTGGAAGCAGGTTTGAAGCCTCCACGGGGGCGTTGTGGAGCTTGTCGGACCTCTCTTAAGCATCTTTGGGCCCTCTTTGGAGCCTCTTGGAGCCACGTAGCGGCCTGATTGGGCCTCCTGGGGGACTCTGGGGGCGGGAAACTCGAAAGGTCGGTTCGCGTTCCCTCTCTTGGGCCCATCTTGGAGCCGTCTCCAGGCCCTCTTTAGGTCCTCTGGGGCCGTCTTGGGGACCTCTTGGGCCGATCATGCGGCACTCTTGGGCCGTCTTGAGGGCCTCTTGGGGGCCTCTTGGGGCGAGTTTGGAGGCTTCTTGAACAGTCTTGGAGTCTCGGCCGCTCGAAAACGTGTGAAAGCAAAACATGTTGGAAAATTACCCTGGCGACGTACCCAACCCCTGCGCAAACGCGGGGCGCAAATAGTTTAGGACACTTTATAAAGGGGGGGCGATGACGGAGCGAGGGTTACATATGTCTGCAGACGGAATTCGGGAGACTCGCAGGACACTGGCTACAGGACAAGGACTAGATAAAGCTGATTAGTTACAATCCCTGAGCAACCCTAGCCACTTCGAAAGCGGGGATCTCATATCGCAGCCCCCCAGGGATGGCGAGGTCTAATTTGGGTCCGCGCGTGGCGTCACTGTGCTGGGCCCCCCAGCAGGCCTCGAAAGTGGCGACAGTTTCACAGATCGCAGCCCCCCAGGGATGGCGAGGTCTAATTTGGGTCCGCGCGTGGCGTCACTGTGCTGGGCCCCCCAGCAGGCCTCGAAAGTGGCGACAGTTTCACAGATCGCAGCCCCCCAGGGATGGCGAGGTCTAATTTGAATCCGCCCGTGGCGTCACTGTGCTGGGCCCCCCAGCAGGCCTCGAAAGTGGCGACAGTTTCACAGATCGCAGCCCCCCAGGGATGGCGAGGTCTAATTTGAATCCGCCCGTGGCGTCACTGTGCTGGGCCCCCCAGCAGGCCTCGAAAGTGGCGACAGTTTCACAGATCGCAGCCCCCCAGGGATGGCGAGGTCTAATTTGAATCCGCCGTGGCGTCACTGTGCTGGGCCCCCCAGCAGGCCTCGAAAGTGGCGACAGTTTCACAGATCGCAGCCCCCCAGGGATGGCGAGGTCTAATTTGAATCCGCCCGTGGCGTCACTGTGCTGGGCCCCCCAGCAGGCCTCGAAAGTGGCGACAGTTTCACAGATCGCAGCCCCCCAGGGATGGCGAGGTCTAATTTGAATCCGCCCGTGGCGTCACTGTGCTGGGCCCCCCAGCAGGCCTCGAAAGTGGCGACAGTTTCACAGATCGCAGCCCCCCAGGGATGGCGAGGTCTAATTTGAATCCGCCCGTGGCGTCACTGTGCTGGGCCCCCCAGCAGGCCTCGAAAGTGGCGACAGTTTCACAGATCGCAGCCCCCCAGGGATGGCGAGGTCTAATTTGAATCCGCGCGTGGCGTCACTGTGCTGGGCCCCCCAGCAGGCCTCGAAAGTGGCGACAGTTTCACAGATCGCAGCCCCCCAGGGATGGCGAGGTCTAATTTGGGTCCGCGCGTGGCGTCACTGTGCTGGGCCCCCCAGCAGGCCTCGAAAGTGGCGACAGTTTCACAGATCGCAGCCCCCCAGGGATGGCGAGGTCTAATTTGAATCCGCCCGTGGCGTCACTGTGCTGGGCCCCCCAGCAGGCCTCGAAAGTGGCGACAGTTTCACAGATCGCAGCCCCCCAGGGATGGCGAGGTCTAATTTGAATCCGCCCGTGGCGTCACTGTGCTGGGCCCCCCAGCAGGCCTCGAAAGTGGCGACAGTTTCACAGATCGCAGCCCCCCGCAGGCAAGACAGGAGGAGGCAAGAGGGAGGCGGGACGGGAGGCAGGAGGAAAGGAGGAAGTGGAGACCACACTGCTCTATTCAAAACGAATACCCAACCAAGGAGGGTTGGGAACAAAATGACAATCAATGATTTTGGCGTCTTGGGGCTCTCTTGGAGGTGCTCGCGGAGCGACCTTGGGGCCTCTTGGGGGCCGCCTTGGGCGGCTTGGAGCGCTCTTGGGCCGTCTTGGCGGCGCTCTTGGGCCGTCTTGGGGGGGGGGAGTTTGGAAAAGTGTGCGACCCCGGGCCGCGGGACCCCGGACGCCGCTTATATTCTGTACTAGAACCACGCGCGCTTCGCGCGCGCTGTGTCTATTTCCGTGAGACCTGTTCCACGTGGTCTTCCGGGTTCCTCCCTTTCACCGATGCGTGATTTTCGGGCGGATACGGCGAAGTTCAAGGAAGGGTTTGGCCAGTAGCGCACCAGCGACGACCGACGACGACGACGACGACGACGACGACGACGACGACAACGACGACGACGACGACGACGACGACGACGACGGCGACGACGACGGACCACCGACGATCACTATCATTGTCACCTGGTCCACGTGTGCGGGAGAGGCGTTTCCGGAGCGTCTTGCAGGCGTCATGGGGGCGTCCTCGGGCCTCGACATTGGGTGGGCAGGTCGGGGGGTGCAGCCAGGGCCACGTATTCCGAAGGGCTGTTCCGGAGCATGGAGGACGAAGGGCTTCTGGCGGGCTTCTGAGGGTCTGTGTAGGAAGCATCCTGCGAGCTCGGTGGGGGCTTCTTTTTTTGGGGGGGGGCTCAGCGAGACGTGTGGCGTACATGTAGTCGGCCTCGCCGAGCGTCCTGGGGCCAGAAAGGCCATGCATAACCACGCACCCTCCTGACAACCTGGCCAAGATGACATCAAGATTCCTCGAACGGAGGGATGGACGATCACCTGGGGGAGCACGTCTCTTGGAGCGGCGCGCCACAGACTGGGAGGCCCTCAGAACTCATCCTTGAGGGCCTTCGCGGGGAAAGCCTTGACGATGGTCTTGGCTGGCTTCGCCTTCACCATGACGACCTTGCCGAAGATCTCGCGCTTTCCAGCCTTGGTGGCCTTCTTCTGGCGGGTCTTGATCATCACAACGCCCGGGATGACGAACTTCCCATTCTTCTTCGCCTCTGTCGTTGCAATGCTCGCGAGAGTGCTCAAAGCCGTGCCGATCACACCCCTTTTCACCTCGCAGGCCTCCGCGAGCGCCGCCACGAGGGCGCTCTTCGTCATGACCGTGGACTTCATCATCGGCGCCATCTCTGCTGCTTGGGTGAGGAAGCAACGGCGCGGCCGATGTGCTCTGGTTTGTGCGCGTTGGCCAGAACTTGAGCCAAAATGGCTACGGCTCGGTGGGGGCTTCTTTGGAGCTTCTGGGGTCTTTCTGGAGCCCTTTGGGGGGCTTCTTGGGGCGTCGTGGAGGCCTCCTGGGAGTCTCTTGGGGCCTCCTGGGGGCCTCTTGGGGCAGAGGGCGCCTCTGTTCGGGCATTTGGGGGCCTCTCTGGAGCCTCCTGGGAATATCTTGGGCCAGCTTGGGAGCCTCTGGAGGGGTCCGGGGCCCCTTCTGAACCCTCTGGGAGCCCTCAAGGCCCCCCCAACCCCCCATGCGAACCAAAGGTCGCAGTTCTGGGCCCATCCCGTAACCGTGTCTGAGTTGCGGGTTAGAGGCTTCTCGGATGTTCGCTGGGATGATATCGTGGGATGCCTCTCGGGGGCCTTTTGGAAGCAGGTTTCAAGCCTCCACGGGGGCGTTGTGGAGCTTTTCGGGCATCTCTTAGGCATCTTTGGGCCCTCTTTGGAGCCTCTTGGAGCCGCGTAGCGGCCTCTTGGCGGGAAACTCGAAAGGTCGGTTCGCGTTCCCTCTCTTGGGCACATCTTCAGGCCGTCTTGGGGGTCTCTTGGAACGATCATGCGGCACTCTTGGGCCGTCTTGAGGGCCACTTGGGGCGAGTTTGGAGGCTTCTTGAGCAGTCTTGGAGTCTCGGCCGCTCGAAAACGTGTGAAAGCAAAACATGTTGGAAAACAATATGAAAATCAATGATTTTGGCGTCTTGGGGCTCTCTTGAAGGTGCTCGCGGAGCGACCTTGGGGCCTCTTGGGGGCCGTCTTGGGCCAGTCATGGGGCCGTCTTGGGCGGCTTGGAGCGCTCTTGGGCCGTCTTGGCGGCGCCTTGCCGTCTTCAGAAGCCTAGGTGGACGCCTCGGGGAAGCGGAAAAACTTCCCGCGACTCCGAAAACGGGCCCCTGGATGCCAAAAATGCCCCCCGCAGCCCAGGGGGCAAATTCGGTTACGGGGGGGGGGAGTTTGGGAAAAGTGTGCGACCCCGGGCCGCGGGGCCCTGGACGCCGCTTATATTACATACATGCGTGATAGGCGCGGAAGCATACACGACAGTACAAAGTGAGAGTTAATATTATACGTCATATGGAGTACTTGTGCAATGTAATGTCTGCCAGCGTGGTCCCAAAACGTTGCATGCTTGTACTATGCATGCGAAATATATGTCGTGCAAATTCTGGTGTGCAATCTATTAACTATGTTGTGCAAACTCTGTGGTGCAAACTCCGTGGACCCGACCCCCCCCGCCGTGAGCGCCCATGGGCGGCCATCAGGCGAAACCTCGTCGCACCCAGCCAGCGCACGGTTTCCCTGCAAATCATGGGAGCCTCCCATACCAATCTTCTTGGCTATTGCCAGTCGACGCCAAATCGACGCACATCGACGCCAAATCGGCGCATTATCATCTGCTACCAGACGCCAGCGCACGCGAACGCACTCGAAAGACCGAATCACGAGGACACACGAGGCTCCCATGACTTGCGACCGACGCGCGGGGCGCCCCGGGCGGCCACCGGGCGAAACCTTGGCGGGCCGAACCAACCGCGTAAGGACGAGAAGCAAGGAGCGGCAGGGGCGAGCGGTGTCTGAGGAAACGCAGAGGTAATAGGGGCAGGGGGAGGATGGGGGCAGGGGGGCGAAGAAGCGCAGGAGGGCCCCGAAGAGGCGCCCGGGGAGGAAGAGCGGGAGGAAGATGATGAGCGAGGGGGGGGAAAGGGAAAGGGAAGCTGGAGAGCCATGTCAACAAACCGTGCGCCCACTGGGCGCGTGGACGAGAGAAAACACGCCTCGCAGAGAAGGAGGAGTCTGGAGGACCGTCGCCGTGGCGGCTCACCCTCCCCGCCGCCGCGTCCTCATCACGTGGGGGTCCCCTGGCCTCCGCGCGGGCGGCGCGGCATGCGAGCGAGCCGATCGCTGAGCGGTGAGCCCAGGCGCCACTACTGGCAATCGAGGGCGGGCTCGAGGATCATCGGCGGCCAGCCCGGGGGGAAAAGAGAGAAAGGGTGGGCCCTCAGGCCTTCTCAGGAGGCTTGGAAGTCCCCCGGCCTTCTGAGAAGTGTTCGACGAAGGCACAGCAAACCTCTTAGAAGGCCGGAGGGCTTCTGAGAAGTCCCGCCGCCCCTCGCTCGCCGCCCAGATCAGGCTTGGACGTCTCGGGGTGAGCCTCCGGGAACCTCCAGAGGCCTCCGGAGGCCTCTGGGGCCTCCGAGGACCTCCGCAGGCACGTCGGCCAGGGCACCATCCGTGCAGGAGCAGGCGCTCTCCGCCCTTTGGGCCTCCCCAGGGGGGGACCTTTTGGAAAACATTCGTGCAGGAGCAGGCGCTCTCCGCCCTTTGGGCCTCCCCAGGGGGGGACCTTTTGGAGAACCAGGACGCTGGGCGCGCTCGAGAAGACTGCAGCCGTGGGCCGGAGCGTGCTCCGGGCGTTGCACCACGAGGGACGAAGGATGCGGGGGGGTGAAGCGGGGTGCACCTTTTGCGCCCGGAAAGGGCCCTGCGGGTGCCCCCCTGGGGCCTAACGGGTGGGCCTTTCGCCCCTCCCCCCGACCCATGATGTATCGCCCCTCCCGCTGCACAGCGCCCAACTGTTCCATGCGTCGCTCTCGCCGGGTGGAACTTCCACACCCGAGGCCAACAATACGTCATGTTGTTGAGGGCCCTGAGGGGGGGCCTGCGGTCGCCGCCGGCAACCCCCCCCCCCGTGAGCCCTTCGGGGGCCAGAACCGTCCGGCGGCGGACCGCGTGGAGACCCCGGAATGTCCACCGACCTCACCGCGCCGCCCGCTACCGCATGGCACTGGGACCTCGGAGGCCCCAGTCGCCCGAGACGTCCTCGAAGGACGGCCCGCGTTTCCAAACCGCGCAGCCCCCTCCCACTCCCCCTCGGGGCGCGCCGCCGATTCAAGGTGGAACGGTCCACGCGGTGCCGAAAACCAAGGCGCAAGTCGCCACGCCACGAACCAGCGGTACTCCGTCCTCTCACGCGTGCTTTCGCTCAACAGTGGGCGGTAGGGCGGCCGTGCCTTGCCTTGCCTTCACTTTTCGATGGCTCCTGCGCCAGTGCGGACGGAGGTGACGGGAGATTTTGAGAGTCTGTCGCCGTGGGGCACCAGGTGGTCCTCGTCGCCACTGCCAGATCCGCCTGGGAATCGTGGTCAGACTGCGCTCCAGGAGAGACTGGACGGACCCCGAGTCCCCAAAGGCTCACCGTACGGTGTGGTCACCACACCGCCTGGGGGCCCCCGACGGGAACCCTGCCCAGGACGCGCTCGCGTCGCGGGGCACTCCGGGTAGGGGGGGGGGACGCCAGCCGTTGCCCCGCGCGCCGATCCTGGCCATAGAGGACTCCTAGATGGGGTCAGAGAAGATGGGTCAGAGGATCGCGCCGCATCAGCGATGCGCCACCGACGTCAACGATGCATCGACGACGCCAGCGCGGAGAGAATGGGGCTCCACGTCGACCCTCATCTGCGATGCATCGGCGATGCGGCGCGATCCTTCGATTCCATCTACTCGGACCCCACTTGGGAGGCCTAGGACACGGCATGTGTGGATTTGCCTGGATGACCGCGGGTGAAGGGGTGATAAACGGATGCTAAGATGGGTCATGTATGCCCCCATCTAGCCTGCATATGGGTTAAAAGTGCTCAAACAGGTGGCTCACAGGGGGTGTCAAGATCCAGGCCACGTGGGCTTCGCCCACTTAGCGGATTGCCAGACTTGGCATGCACATAACGCATACCCCCTCTGTCCACTGAACACCCCATGCGGTGATTCGAGTGGGGAACCCAGAAGATACCGATACCGCCACTCCCCAAGCCTCTCCAAGGGTGCGTTCCGACCAGAGTGTCGCGACGAGTCCAGCCGTGCTCACCAGAAAGCGTGACTATGGGTATTTCTTCCTCTACTAGGGGGAAGCAGTGACATCAACATAAGTACTCCGACGGTAGGACCCCGCACGATGATCTTTTTTCAGTTTGGCTGGGGACCTCCTCCTGCTCCCTCCTCCTGCCCCCTCCTGCCTCCTCTTTCTCATCCTGCCTGCTCCTCCTGCCCCATTATCCTGCCTTGTCTGCCTCCTCCTCCTCCTCTTTTTGCCTCTTCCTTATTATCCTCTTCGTCTTCCCCTACGCGTCTCCTCCTCTTCCTCCTCCCCATGCGTCTTCATCGTTTCCTGCCTCCTGGCTCCTCCTTGTCCTTCTTGGCCTGTTTCCTCCTCTCCTCCTCCTCCTCCTCCTCCTCCTCCTCCTCCGCCTCCTCCTCCTCTTCCTCCTCCTCCTCCTCCTCCTCCTCCTCCTCCCTCCCCCTCCACAATTACTCAATATGAATACTACTCTCCTCCTTCCCCTGATGACGGGTTGGGAGTGTTCGCCCCCCCCCCCTCCCCGCGTACTGTTTTTTTACACACAGGATTCCCCGGAGTTGGGTTTTCGCCTGCATTTGTTTTCAAAATGCTGCTCTCGCTGCAGCGCTGGCCTCATTTTCGGGCCCCGCTCGTTCCGAATCGTGCTCCCGCTGCAGCGCTGGCCTCATTTCCGTGCTTCCGCTCGTTCCGAATCGTGCTCCCGCTGCAACGCTGGCCTCATTTCCGCGCTTCCGCTCGTTCCGAATTGTGCTCCCGCTGCAACGCTGGCGTCATTTCCCGTGCCATGCCACGGCATGCAATGCAATGCTAGGTAGCGTTCCGCTGCGCGATGCCATGCCTTCAGCTGAAGCTGTGATTTGCAAAGCTTAAGTGCCACGTCGTGCTATGCCGCTATGCCATGCTACGCTTTGATCTTCAACGCCATGCTATGCAATGTTATGTTCGGGGCCGCTGTGCGATGCCATGCTTTGCGTTGCAACGCTTTGTGATGCAATTATTCTCTACGCCACGCCACGCCATGCTGTGAAATACTACGCTTTGCGGTGCTCTTCTACGCCATGCCATGCCGTGCTCTACAATGCATCGCGCACCCTTTCGGGATCATTGCCCTGCTCGACACCAGACTGTGCGAGTAGAGAGGGGATCTACGCCATGGTAAGGGATGGGAGGGAGGGGTAGGATCTCAGATATGACGCGAGCGCACCTAGCTACCTAGCTTGTCCTCCCCCCCTCCTCCTCCTCCTCCTCCTCCTCCTCCTCCTCCTCCTCCTCCTCCACCACCTCATCATCATTCCTCCTTCCCTTCGGCCTCCTCCTCAGTTTGCCTCCTCATCCTTGACCCTCCTGCCTCCTCTTGCTGCCTCCTGGAGCCTCCGGGTGGCCCCTAGAGTCAACAGGGGCCTCCTGGGGCCTCCTGGGGCACTCGTCCTTCTCCTCCTGCTGCTGCGCCTTCCTTTTCCTCCTGCTACCTCTACATCTTCCCCCTCCTCCTGCTCCTCCTCCTCCTCCTCCTCCTCCTCGTCCTGCCTTTGCCTTAAGCTGTTTCCTCCTCCTCGTTGTTTTCCTCCTCCTCCCCCTCCTCCTCCTCCCCCTTGTCCTCCTCCTCCTCCTCCTCCTCTTCCTCCTCCCCCTCGTTGTCGTCGTCCTCCTCCTGACGCGCCCTGCCTCCTCCACGGGCCCCCTGCCTTCTCCTGGGGCCTTCTGGTGCCTTCCGCTATCTCCTGGAACCTCCCAGAACCTTGTGTGGCCTCTTGGAGCCTTCCGAGGCTTCCCCGTGTACGCCGCTTCCTCCTCCTTCTCCTCCTCATCCTCCTCCGCCTCCTCTTCCACCTGCGCCTCCTGAAGCTTCCTGGGGCGCATGAAACTTCCTGGAAATTCTGAAGCATTTCGAGGGCTCCCGCTCGAGACTCTTTCGCAACCCGCTCACAAGCCCCGCTCGACGCTTCCTCGGGATTCAGATTCGTAGGCGTCGTCGCACCTGTGTTTTCACATGGTTTTCCGATGGCCGTTTCGGATTAGCAGCACGAGGGGCGGGCCCCACGGAAAAGGGGTCTCCCTCGCGGGACGTCCTGAAAGTGCACTCACAAAAGTGGCCCCCTTCTGAAACTTCCTCGAACGAGTTTATGCGCGTGGGCGATGCTGATGCTGACGGTGATGATGATGATGATGAGGAGGAGAAGGAGGAGGAGGAGGAGGATGATGGTGGTGATGGTGCCCCGGAGGCGCCGGGCCGACGTGGTGAGTGGCACGTCCCTCGCCAGCCAGCACCTGCAACACGTATGGGCGTGCTTCCCATTTCATGGCCGCCAAGATGACGATGACGACGATGAAGATGACGATGATGCTGACGATGACGGTGATGATGACGATGAGGATGATGATGATAGCGGGGATGATGATGAAGATGACAATGGTGATGATGGTGGTGGTGATGATGGTGATGGTGGTGATGGTGATGGGGCGAATGTGACGATCGTAATGACGATGGGGTGATGATGGTGTGATGATTGTAAGTATGATGATGATGACGACGACGACGACGACGACGATGATGATGATGATCAGCGGTCATGATAAGGCGATGGTAGGGAGGATTGATGCTGATGGTGTGATGACGGCAATGATGATGGCACACACCAACATAGACGTGAGATGGTGTGTGAATGTGTATACGACGGTGATGTGGATGATTGGTGGCGATGGTGTGCTGGTGATGATGACGATGATGATGATGATGCAGGAGAGGAGATCCTGCGCGGGGTGTGCAAAGAACACAGCCCCACTTCGGATGTGGGGACAAACTCTGAGGACCGCGCGGACTCCTCGGATCGGCGCTGGGACCCCCTGGCGGTGCCTCCGGCGTCGCTCCTGGCGCGCTCCGCGGGCCAGGGAGGGGGGGGTCCAGCGCCGATCCGAGAAGTCCGCGGACCTCCGAATTTGTGTGTTTGTGGCATGGCTTGTTCATGCACAACGTCGGCAGCAGCAGCAGCATCTTCAGCTAGTTACATTTTCACTCTTGCTCGTGTCCCTTCCGCCGAGCAGCCTGCCTATTTGCGAGATGCATACAACCACATGACAGCTGGCATCTGACGAATGGAACAGCCATGCACAGACGATATCAAGAAACGGTACCCTGCCCCTGCTCTCTTCCACGATTAATTGCTACTATCATCAAGTGACGAGGCGACGAGACGCTCAGTCTACGTAAGCGCGCCATCAAAACGATCCGATCGTCGAGATTGGTGGCCTTACCAGATGCGCAGTATGCGAAGCCGACTGATTTACGCATGGCTGCGGGCGACCTGCGAATTGTACGTATGAAGGCGCTGCTAAAGACTTTGTGATCACATGCGATTCGATCCCGACCACATTGAAAAAAAAACATCCGCCAAACTGACAACCTCCTTCTCCTCCTCCTCCGTCTGCTCCCGCTCCCCTCGACCTCCGCCTCTGCCTCGCCCCCTTGTTCCTCGATCTGTTATTCCCGCTCCTCCCTTTCCCTCTTTATCCCACCTCTTCCTACTCCTCCCTTCCGCGTCACAAACGTTCGCTGGAAACCGTATCCCATACCCGTCAAACTCCCGGAAGCCCCAGGACACTCGTGTGGGGGGGGGGTCAGAACTTGCAAGGCGGCACGAACCAGATGAACCCAGGCCAGAAACCGTACTATGCGCAATCGATGGGCGGCGGGACAGACATCATTATATGAACAGCTCAACATTTACTCGCCCCCTCTCGTCGACCCTCTTCGTAGGAGGATGAAGTACGGCTGGACCTAGGACAGGAACACATCCTTCAAGAACATGAGTCTCTCCGCTGGTCAAACTGAAGAACATCCGAGGGTATCCTCCACCAGATACACAAGAACATCCAACAAGCACGAAACACGTTAGAGTACCCTCCCCGAGCCGACCTCGATATGATAGCTCGGTCTGGCCGTTATGGGGTTGACAGAAGCTTGGTCGGAAAGAAACGAGGACGACGGACCAGCATAGGCAAAGGAGCCACCTCTTCCTCCTGCGAATCCTCTTGCCCCATTCTCTTCCTTGCCTCTCTCTCCTCCTCTCACTCGCGCCCGCCCTCCTCCTCCTCCTCCTCCTCCTCCTCCTCCTCCTCCTCCTCCTCCCGATCCTCTCTCCATCGTTCCCCCTCACTGCCCCCCCGTTCCCTTCACTCTCCTGATCCCTCCTCCTCCTCCTCCTCCTCCTGCTCCTCCTCCTTTCAGTCGCCTCCTCCTCCTTTTCCCGATACCTCCATCCATCCTCCCCCCTCCCTGCCTGCATACCCCTCCGGCTGATCCACCCTCTCCTCCTCGCCCGTTCTCCCTCGCGCCCTTCTCCCGTGCTCCCCCTCCCCGTCGCTGTCGTCGCCGTCGTCGTCGTCGTTGCGTCGCCGCCGTTGTCATCATCGCCGTCGCCTTGTCATCATCGCCGTCGCCGTCGTTGTCGTCTTCGCTGCGTCGCCGCCGTCGTCGCCGCCGTCGCCACCGTCGTCGTGCGCCGCTGTCGTCGCTGGCGCCGCGGGAGCCTGCCGCCCTCCACGAAATTGTGGAACGACCGCAGGCCCCTCTCCGGACCGCGGATGGCCTCCAATTGAGGGGAGGAGGAGGAGGAGGAGGAGGAGGAGGAGGAGGAGGAGGAGGAGGAGGAGGACGACGAGGTGGAGGAGAAGGACGAGGAGGAGGAGGAGGAGGAGGAGGAGGAGGAGGAGGAGGAGGAGGAGGAGGAGGAGGGAGGGGGAGGGGGGAAGGAAGAGGATGGGGAGGTGGGCATTTGAAGCAGATGTGCCCAGAAGGCCAGCGGGCCCTGGACCCTATGGGGGCCCTTCCCAAAACCGGCTTCTCACCCCGATGAGCCGTCTCTGGACAAGTCCCCGGGCCCAGGGAGGGCCATGGGAGGGCCGAACAACGGCGTACGACGAAGCCAGGACGAGGATAAGTTCGGGTGAGGATAAATCGAGAATCTCGGAGGTCCGGCGTCTCTGGAGAGTGTTTCGGGCACCGCGGTCTTCTCAGAGCGTTCGGGAACGCTCTGAGAGCGTTCTGGAACGTTCTGGAACGGAATATCCTCATATTAGCCCCATCCGACGCTGGACCGCTCTTTTTACCCCATGGCCTGGGCGCTTCCTGACAAGCCCCTGGGGCCCTGGGAAGGCCTCGAGGACCAGGAAGCAACAAAAACCCTCGCCAAGTAGTGGCGCTGCGTCCTGGCCTGCTAATAGGGCCACCAATGAATGTTCTACAAACTTCTTGTGGTTTGCACGAAATGTTCTGACACCATGTCTGGCTGAGACAGTCCTGTCTCATCTTCACGCTATGAGAGCATTATTTTTTGTTTTTAGAAAACGCTTTCGTTTTGAGAATCTGTCGTGATAGGCCTGTATCGGCGGCGCGCACGGGGGGTCAGCGAGAAGGGGCCGGCCTTCTCAGAAGGCGGCGGGGCCTCTCAGAAGCCCTCTGGCCTTCCGATAAGGAGGAGGAGGAGGAGGAGGAGGAGCAGGAGGAGGAGGAGGAGGAGGGGAAGGCTTGGGACACGTATCAGAACGACCAAGGCCGTCCGTACCTTCTCAAAAGGCCCGTTCCCTCTGCCCTTCCGCCCCCCTGGCGCGCTTGGGCGCGCCAATTGCTAGGGGAGCGATCCACGGGGGGAAGAAGAGCCGACCAGCCACAATCGGGGGAGCTGTAGTCCCTACCCCCCTGGGAAATCCCATCGCATCGACGATCTCTCGAGAGGGGTGTCGAAATCGATGGGTCCCCAAGGGGGGTAAGGCCCACAGCTCCCCCAGTTGTGGCTGGCCTGAAGGGTGTTGGATTAAGCCAGATTTCGGACCAGGGCAAAGTCCGAATGTTGCCTCCCAGGAGTTGCATCCGAAGGGCAGACCTGCCACGATCGTTTGGCACGGGAGGCGTGTGGAGAGCATGGCCGGACCCTGGAGATGGACGCCTCTCGATTGATCAATTATGCCGTTGATGCGCCCCTCGCGTTCTTGAAACAAGGGAGGGGTTCTTCGATGGCCAGCCCCACCGCGGGTTCGCCCCCTTCTGCGCGTCGCTGCTCAAGGCGAGACCGCAGTCCCCCCCCGCCCCCTGGCGCTCCCGCCATTTAGAGGACGCAGAGCTGTCCTTTTTCCCGTGCAGCGCGCGCCCGCACAGAGCCCCCAGGAGGCTACACCAAAAAATGGAGCCACCAGATCATGTTTGTAGCTGTAGCCACTGTAGTAGACGGTCTGGTCTGGTCGCTCCGATGTTCCCTTAGGTGTCTTTCTGCCCCTACAGGCGCCGCTCGCTGTCTCCCTCCCCCCAGCCCCTACGTTCGAATCCCAGCGCGCATGAACGCACGACGCGGCCACCGTGGACACGCGAAAAGGAACTGCTGGTCTGCAGGCGAACGGTTCTGACTCGAATGCGGCCTGACAGACATACAAGACAAGTGCACATCGTGATTGTAGACGCCGTGCTTATTTCTACGAGGGCGGGAGCGTGTGGAGCGTGCGCCCCAAAGGGCGCCCAGAAGGCCAGCGCCCAAAGAAGCGGCAACGACGCCACCGCCGCACCCTGCACCCGCGGCACAGGCGTGGAGGCGGGATGGGCCGACGGCCACGAAATGGATATCAGTGCAAGTGATCTGCATTTCCACCATGAGGCGAGGCAATGGTAAACCTAGTGGGGCTACCTGGGGTCCCGTATTATTCACCAGCTCTGCTGCCTGTGCATGAACCTGATCCTGAGGTGTTCAGCGACGCCCAGCATGCGAGTGGTGACGACAGCAATCTCCAGAATGATCATCTGCGTCATCATGAAAGGCCAGCAGGTAATGAACATACGTCCAAAACACGACGTCTTGAGCCCCTCGTGACAAATACATGTAATGATGTACCTACCATTCGAAGGATGTAAAGCGGCAAGACGGCAAGTGTAACCGTCAACCAGATGCCTGTAAAATCAGAGCGCTACCTGGGCTGTCAAGAAACGCTCCGTCGTCACTGACGGGAACTTCCGATCACCCTTTACAGAAACTTGCCTTTAGCTTCGTTCCTGGTGTCCCACAGCCCACTTCAAGTTTCCAACGATAATTGGCGAGACTCCCACGTGCATACATGATCTTGGCGAAGGGCCCAACTCTATACGGCTGCGTTTGCCGCAAAACAACCCATCTCTTCGTATACGGGGGCAGTGCGGATACGAGGCTGCGGCGCAAGCGCAAGGGCGCGCTGCACTCCCTGCGAGGCACGATCCGCTTGGCGCGGGGCCGACTTGGGAGCAGCCCTTCACGCGAACGCGCCCACCGAGGCCGTGGGTGGGGCTCCCTGTGCAAGACGAGCCGCGTGAAAGGTGCACGGAACTGAACGGTGGGACGCCATGCGAACTTGCCCACTGAATCCATTAGCAGAGCTTCCTGTGGCACATGATCCGTGTGAGGTGTCCTGGAATGGGTGGAAGAACGCCATGCGAATCCTGCTTGTGGGGCCGCAGGCATGGCTCCCGGAAGGGCACGATCCGTGTGAAAAAGTGTGGCGACATGGGCGAACGCAGACGTGGGTGAAGAAAAGGAGGCTTTTGTCATCGCGAACACTCCACCCTCAACTCACATCCGTGAGTTCTTCCGAACATCCCGTGGCCAACGTCCGCTGCCACGCCAGAGTCCACGAGGATCGCAAGCTCACGCGAGAGGAACAACGGAAGGGAGGAGGAGGGAAAGGAGGAGGGAAAGGGGGAGCTGTGCGGAAGGGAGGAGGAGGGAAAGGAGGGAAAAGGGGAGGAGGAGGAGGGAAAGGAGGAGGGAGGAGGGAGGAACAACGGAAGGGAGGAGGGACCAGGGCGCTGCGCGAAGACCCCCTGCGGTCGAAGCGGCCATTCATCGAATGCAGAAACGCACCTCGGCTGCCCTGAGGGTGCGGGAGAGATAGATAGAGACGACAAGCCGCAGCGGACGGGGCGTGCACAATGATACAACAAAAACATTCGCATTTCGATCAGCCTCACGGTGAAAGCGGAAAACACAGGAAAGAGGAACAGAGAGAGAGGGGGGAAAGAGAGAGAGAGAGAGAACAAACAAAAAAGAAGAGAGAGAAAGCAACAAACAACAAAAACACATAGTTAAAACATGACTAGAAAAACAGCGAAAGAGAGAAAGCGATCGAGAGCGAGCGAGGGAGTGGGAGAGAAGAAGAGAGAAAAACACAAAGACAGAGACAGAGAGAAAAAGAGAGAGCGAGTTGCGAGGGGGGAGGAGGGAGGGGGGGGGGAGAGAAAGAGAGAGAGAGAGAACAACAACAAATAGCGAGAGAAGGATCAAGAGAAGAGGAAGAGGGATAGAGACAGAGAGACAGAACCAGAAAGATAAAGGGAGAGCGAGGGCGAGAGAGAGAGAGAGAGAGACAGGTAGACAAAGAGAGAGAGAGAGAGAGAAAGAGAGAGAGACAGAGAGAGCGAGGGAACGAGAAAAGGAGCAGAATCGACGCCCCATCATGTATCATAGCACAAGACGCCAAAGGTGGGCCACACGAAAGCACGCGGGAGGCACAGAGACATCGCGACACATATCAGAAATCCGTGCGACAAGGCTACGATAATCAAATGGACCTCCCGACGGCCGAGACCACGCAGGAAGAGGATGAGGAATAGGAGAAGGAAGGATGGGGGAGAAGGAGTAAGGGGGGCGCTGCAGACTGAAAACATGGACCCAATTCCACACAAGAGTTGCGAGTCGGGTGTCTCCGCCATTACAGAGTTATGCGTCCCACCCTGCCCTCCCTCATTAGATTCTTCGGTAACTTCGCGACGCACCTGGCTATGGCCATAACCGGCAATCGAGTCGAAAGAAGTGAGCTGGCCAGCACGCCCTTGAAGCAGCGATGATGTCAAAACAATAGAGCGCATGTGCCGCACGATCTCCAAAGACAACACCATTGTTGCCGAGCGTCGAAACAACGCACCTGTTCTCCACGCGCAAAAGCTCCGACTGCACCCATCCCAACTGGGCAAGTGATCGACCTTGCGAGAAGGTCATTCCGCCAGTCGGATCCCATACGCTGTTGGGAAAGATACGACAGGACCAAGCAGATCAGGAGAAAGCGTCCCATCAAGGCAGAGGGAGCCTGGAGGAACTCGCCCATGATGTTCGCCACCCTACTGGGGGATGACACCGTGAGCGTGTACGGCACCTTACCGATCTCCAGTGGACCCAGACTGCCCTCCTTGAAGGAAATGCCATTAGCAGCAACAATGTGGTCCCCAACTCTGAGGCCAGCACCGAATCCAATGGAGCCTCTCCTCACCGATTGAATTGCGGATCACCTGATCGAAATGCCACTTGTTCCAGGTTGCATCGTGATGCTACGGCGAGGAGGATCCCACTCCCGTAGCCGCCAGATGGCCCCGGGATGGACCGGGACCGCTCGCTGACAGCGGGACCCTATCCTGGCAGTCTGCACTGTCCGGCCACGCAGAGGGAGAAAGGATGGAGGAGCAAGCAGACAACGACGACCGCGCAGGCAATGGACCACGGCCGCCAGCGGTCTCGGGCGCGGCGTGCTAGCACGCAGGTGTTATATGCCACCAGAGAGGCCTGCTTGTTACCGCCTCATGTGGCAACTCATGGGAGCCTCCCATACCATCTTGTTGACTCATGCGAATCGACGCTAGTCGACGCTAAATCGACGCTCAGCGACGCTAAATCGACGCTAATCGACTCTAAATCGGCGCTATCCCACCGACTTCACGACGCTAATCCACGCGAATCAACGCTGAAGACAGATAAGAGGGTATACCAGGCTCCCATGAGTTGCTACCGAAGCTGCCAACCCTGAAGTCGCGTGCCCCTGCATTCGCCCCCGTCGGGGCTTCCCGGGTGACCCTTGCCGCCAAGACCCGATCCGGTTCGGCACCCCAGTCAGGTCGCACTTGTTGAGGGGAGGCCCGCGGAGTCGCGCGTGCACGTGGGCCTCCCGCCTCCCCAGACGTGGCGTGGCTTCTTCTTCTTCTTCGCAACCTGTCCCCCCTGAGCTCCTCGACCCCCTCAGATTCTGGCGGCACCAGACAATCGGGCATCGAGGAGGGAGCCCACGAGAGAAGCACATCGTGGCGTCGAAGAAGGTGTGCGACGGGAAGACATGCACCTCTCTCCCTCCTCCCAACCCTCCCTCCCAAGATCGGGACGATCGAAATAGATACGGACATAATGGGGACGAAGACCGACATCAATTCTTGCCGATTTTGAACAAGCCTCACTGTCGGTGTCGCCGCGGAAGATGCCTATTTGTTTTGACACGCAAGGTTGCCAGCCCAACAGCGGCCGCTGTCGGTTTGGGTCAATGGTTGCTGTCGGGCTCAAGCTTGGCCCGGGTGGCCGCATCGGCGACTGGGGAGCGCTCAGAAAATGACGCTTACCTTTGAACCATGGTCCCCACCCTGGCACATACTGGCAGTATCGAAGCCATCGCATAGGTGCTACACATCAGAATTGAATTGGTCGTTGCTCTTCGTTCTTCGTGCCGTACCCGTGTCGGGCGTGCCAACAAGATAGGAGAGCTATGAGGATGGGGGAAACCCACGAGGAAGGTTTGGCGGCAAGCTTGGGGGGGAACCGAGAAGGAGCAAGTCTTCTCTGGAAGGCTCGAGAACTTCTATACCCAACAAGCCCATCTAGAACCGATGCCCAGGCGAGTTGCCCTGATCAGGGATGTGGAGGAACACGCGGTGGACTAAAGGGCTGAGGAAGCCGCCGTACCCCACGACGGGGAGGATGGAGGAGGAATCGGGGGAGGAGGAGGAGGACGAGGAGGAGGAGGAGGAGAAGGAAGAGGAGGGGAAGGGGAATGGGCAATGCATCGCCGCCGAACGCGGGCACAGATGAGCGGCTGGTCGGAGCTGCCATCTCTGCACGATATCGTGTGGGATCACTGACGTGAGCGAAAATGGCCACACCCCTTACGCCGCAGAAAGCTCCTCCGGAAGCAGAGAGGGACTCTTGAGAACCCCCACCGCCTTCTCAGAAGGCCAGCCCCTCCTCCTTTCCCCCCTCTCGCCAACCCGCCAACTTCGGTCTCGTGGCCGCTTCTCGAGGTCATTACTCGGGTGCGGCCAAGGGGGAGGTGTCCACGGGGGGGGGGGTGCAAATCATGGCTGGCGGCATGTGCGCGGCCCCAGGGGGAGGCCAGGGAACGTATTGAAACAAGAAGAGGCGCCATGAGATCTGAGGAAATATCATGGCCCACGCCATCATATCCCCCCCCCCTAGTCATCACCCCCCTCTGCCGCCCTCGGATTACCCGCACGCAAGAAACGAGCCGGTGCGCCTTCAGCGCGGTGCGGACGCGCTTCTGCACACGGAACTTGGCGTGCGCCTCGGGCCCGTGGGCTCGAAAGCAGGAGGGCGTTCCAACGATTGCGCTACCAGCGATGGCAGAACCCAGCGCTACCAGCGATGCAGCGGCGCTGGCTTCTGCCACCGCGAGGATCGTGCAACCTTGCACGGTCCGCACTTTCCGATTGCGAAGATTGCTCGATGTTGGCGGCCTTGGTAGTGGGCCACACGCGAACCCTACCCCTACCCCCCACGATTTCTGAGGGGGAGGGTGGGGCTCACTCCGCTCGAGAGCTCCCGAACGAAGTGACCCCCACCCTCCCCCTCAGAAATCGGGCGGGGCAGGGGTAGGGTTCGCATGTGGCCCCCTACTTGGGGCGCCCTGGCGGCGTGCAGCCTTGAACGCCCGCGCAAGGAACCGCCGCCGCCGCCGCGTCGACGCGGCACGGACGTGCCGCACCCGCTCTCCAGCTGCCGCCCTCGCGCCCTCCTTTCTTCACGGGGCCCAGGCACGGCCCGAGAGTCCCGACTCCTCTTCCTCCTGCTTGCGAAACGGGCATGTATCCATATTCGCTGCCTGGGGAAGGGCCGACGCCCAGGGACCTCAAGGGCGGTCCCCTTTTATACATCTTAAATGTATACGCGTGTTGGTCAATGTGTTTTTGGTGATATGTGTTGCGAGATATCAGTTGTGCTATCTATGTGGTGCATATTGCTGTGTGGTACCTATGCTGGTACCTACGTTGTGGGACATGCACTGTGCAAACTACGACGTGCAATGCTTGTTGCGTAATATATGTTATGCGATCAATCGTGCGCACTACATATCATGATGCCCACGTTGTGCAATCTATGTTGTACTATCTGTGCGGTGCAGCGTTTGTGGTAATGCATCGATATTGCACACTCGGCGTAAGCCCATGTATGCGATGCAGTCGACGCGGCCCCATCTCTGTAGCACAATCTACGTGGCGCAACTTGTGTGGTGCAATCAATCTACGTGCTGCAACATGTGCGGTACAACGTGTGGTGCAATGCGCCAATGCTCGCAATCACTTGTCAACACCGCTAACATCCCGCTCGCCCACTCGCAACTTGGTTTGCAAAACCCATGCGACGGCGATTGAAATGAGTGCTTGGCGTTGGCTGGTGCATCTCCGCGGCCGCGCTAGCCCGCGCATGCTCGCGCGCCCAGCGACCAGCTAGTTTGGCGCGACCGACGCAGCCGCGACGGCGCTGACCGCTGGGCACTTCCAGCGGGCACTCCAGTGCGAGTCGGCTGGTTGGGGGGGCGGTACCATGACGACGTCACAACGGTAGACACGATTATGAAAAAGCGATGATGGTGACCATTGCGGCGATGACGACAGCAAAACCAATAACGGCGCCGACGTTGGTCACGCCGCCGATAAAGATGACGGCGTCCTCGCGTCGGCGTGAAGGGTGTTTGAAGGCGTTCGACGTGCGCGCGTGGCCGACGCGCGCGGGTGGTCCGCGTGGTACTATTTGACACGGATCGTGACGCCCCCCACCAGCACACGCGCAGGCGCAGGGGCGTTCGAATGAGTCCGACATGTTGCGCGAGAGGCCCGTTTGGCAGACTTGGGTCAACATGTTCGACAACCCACAACTTTCGCAAAGACCCGCAAAACCGCGAGCGCAATTTGTTCCCAAACTGATGCTGCAAAACCATGTGTTATTAGATAGTTTCGGGGCACTCGTGCTTGAACTCCCTGCGGTACCAACAAAAATTGAAAGATTTCGGCATGCGCGCGCGTGTACATGTCGTCCCGCTTTTTGCAAGAGATTCCTGCGACAGCACGCGCGCAAAAGGCGTTCGAATGATTCCGACATGCGCTCGCGAAGGAACCAGCGTTTGAATATCAGCCAGCGTTGATCCCAAATAGATAGGAGGACAGGAGGAGGACGAGAGGAAAATGGGAGGAGGACGAAAGGACGGGTGCAGGACGGGAGGAGGACAGGAGAAGCAGCATCAAGCAAGTGCAAGCAAGCAAGCGGAAGCAAGCAAGCACAAGCGAGCAATAACAAGCAAGTTAAAGCCAGCGGTCAAGTGCAAGCAAGCAAGGGCCAGCAAGAACAAGCAAGCGAGAGCAAGCAAGCACGCAAGAGCAAGCAAGTACGCGCCATTGGAAAAAGGAGGGGGGGCATTGGAAAAGGAAGGGGGGGCGCTAAAGACCAACTACTTAGAATGAGCTAGGACTCCTATAGGGCAAGCGTATTTGGAGAATGGTGATCTTGATGGTGCCGGCGATGATGCAAAGAGGTGGATGTGCGCTCAGAGGCATAGGCATAAACATAGGAATAAGCATAGGAGCGTTCAGAGGTGGTGCATAGGCATAGCATAGGCACAGGTGTCAGACATAGGAGTTAGGGGGGAGGCTAGCCATTGGAGTCAGGGGGGGCATCGGAATTAGGGGGGGCAACGGACCAATTAGTAGGGCTTGAGTTAGAACTCCTATAGGGCAAGCATATTAGGAGAAAACCAATGGTGTTGTTCAGATTTGTAAGAGCACCGGCGCAGGCTGCGTTTGAAAACCCTTTTGCAACCTCGGACGACAGGAAGCAGGGCAAGGGGAGGGCACATCTTGGATACGTCCCAGAGCGCGTTCTGCTCGCTCTCCTCAACTCGAAGTGAGCCCTGGCGGCACGGGTCGGAGGATGCAGCAAACAGGGGGTGAACCTGGTGCGACTTCGAACAGATCTTGCGCTCTGCGCGGCGGCGGCACCCGCGACCCCAGCGGGCACGACGCCACCTTCCTCCGCTGCTTCCTCCTCCAACACAGCCCCGCAGTTTCTCGCGCCGATTCTTGGCTCGACCCGGCCAACCCTGGCCGCCCGGGAGCTGGGCTTCAGCTGCAATTTTGCCCGGCCACGGAGCGCCGCCCGGCCACGGAGCGCCGCTTGCTGCCCACCCTTGCGACGGGCGGCGGCCCTAGCCCTCCCCCTGGCCCACCCGGTCCACCCAGGCAGTGGGGGCCGCCCCCTCCCTCCGCGCGTCGTCACGGCGCCCGGGCCGCTCCCTGAACCGCCTCGCGGTCGGGCTCCTGGGCCTGGGCTTGCCGCCTACTCCCCCGCGTTCCCCCCCCCGCGCGCCGCCGTGGCACCAGGCTGCTGCCTGCAGCCGCCACGCCGGGGTGCCGGGTTTGGTTTTGCCGCCTGCCACCCTCAGCCGGCCCTGCATTTTGCCGGGCGCACCGCCCTTGGCGGCACCATCGTCGCTGCGCCCCACGCCCCCACAAGGGACACGCGCTGCCACCGCTTGGTGCTTGAGGCTTTGGCACTGTCTGCTTGGAACCCTTGTCCCCTGGGGTGGTATCTACCCCCGCACTGCGCCCCGCCGCCGCAAGCCCCCTAGTGCAGCAGCCGCCGCGGGCCCGACGGCTGGGCTGGCCGCGCCACGCGCTCGGGGCATGACCAATCCCCGTGAGCGGCTCGCTCCCTCCGCCTCCCTTTCGGCCGCCTCTTCTGCTTTCCCCCACCCTCGTGCATGGGGGCAGAATTCGTTGCAACGGTATCCCAGTAGGTAGCCCGATGACCAGCGCAGAGGACTTTTGCCTAGCCGCTGACGCATTTACACACATATATATATGTGTGTACACAAAACAATCGAAGTTGTAACCCTTACGACACCAATGGTTTTGACACATTTTGGCATGCGCACGCATGCGCGCGCGACGACGCGCGCGTGCGCATTTCGCATCATCTGTTGCAATAAGTTATGGGAAATGATGATGGCAATGCGCTCGCATAACACCTTTAGCTCATCTGTTGCAATAAGTTATGGGAAATGATGATGGCAATGCGCTCGCATAACACCTTTAGCAAAGGATGGGGGGAACCCGATACCAACCTGCCTGGGACGGTACGAATTCATGTTTTTATCATGGACGATGGGGCAACATCATATGCAAATTACCATACGACAAGGTGTGCCGTTAACCCCTGGGGGGTATATCCTTATACTTTCTTATATAGGAAGACCTATGCTGCGCCATCTATGAAGCGCAAACTACGTAATGCAATCCCTGCGGTACAACCTACAGTGTGCAGTATACGTGAAACAATATTGGTGGTGCATTCCACGTGGTGAATTCTATGTGGTGCGCTTCACCCTGTCAAACTTGAAATTAACAACTCCACCGCTTGTGCAAACATCGCGCCAACCCACCCGCCTCCTGGTTTGCAGAATCCATGCGGCGGCGATGGCAATGACTGCCTGGCGCTGGCTTGCACATTGCTCTGGCCTCGCTGAGCGGGCTCGTGCGCAGAGCGGCCCGCTAGTCTGGAACGCTGTCGGCCCTGCCGCCGACATCCTAGCCTGGCAATATGCTTGCTACATAACTACTCCATGCATGGTGTGCGCTTACCGTGGACAAGCCGAACACGGAAGGCTTAGGCATCTTGGTGTGCATACTGCACGCTCGAGGGCAAGGAGCGTGCTGCCACGTGCCAGTACTCTAATAGCCCGGATCTCTTGCCGAAGTCGCACAACTGTCTAACACCATTCACTGTGTCGCGGTCAACTGGCCGCTCGCTGTTTAATTTCTCGATATCGTGGTTCGATTCCCACTGCTAAATCATAACTGAAGTATACTGCCCTCGTTGTCAGACTTCCCGCTGCCATCCAATGTGCCAGCCGTCGCGCCCAATCTGGAAAAACCAACGTTCGTTTCAATTTGGACATCGTTTGGCAACGCCGAGGGCGTACGCAACTTGCGAACTACATGTTGCCCCCCTGGTGGCCGAATTCCGTATCCTGCGCTGTACAGGCTGCCACTCTAAGCATGGCTGGTTCCGTAAACCGTGAGCACAGAGTGCCTACTGCTTGAACGCCGCTTGGAGGGCAAAAGTCTACCTCCGCCGGCCTTCCATTGGCGGAGGCGACCTCTTTTCGCCCTGCCGCCCTTCTGCCGCCATTTCGCAAAGGAAGACGTGTCAACCTCTCGACCCCTCGAAGGCAAAACCCCTTCTGGAACGCCTCATAAGGTGCGCAGCTGCTCAGCGCATCGAAGCTTGATAGCCCTCTGAACACGTTCACGGCCGAATAGCGGAATACTGCGTGCAAACAAAGTGTCATGGCGACGGGCCGCGGCATCGAGGCTGACGTGTGAACACGTCTGGCTCCTCCGACCAGCACGCTACATGGACCTTCCCGCCGAATCCCAACTGCCTCGCCCCCATCCCCACAGCGCGGCGGCACAGATGCAACGGCAGCTTACGTGGATCAGTAATGATTGACTTGCGTGAGACCCTTACCCGCACCAGCACCGATGTACTTGACCCTGTGGGCAGATGAGGTGGCATCAGCGTTACATCAAATGTGGACAGTGCCAAGGCATACAAGGCTGCCAGCCAATGGCTGCGGCAGCGGATCGGAGCCTCAGCCAGCGGCATGGTCATGATCTGCTGCCCCATGAACATGGAGCCGTGGAGCTCCTTCACCTGGGTGCTGTCCGGCGGTGCGACGTGCCACATCAAATATGCATCATGCACGGGCTCCTCTTTTCGGAACGCATGTGTTTTCGGGAATAATGCTGCCACGGAATCCGGATGCAACACGGAGGCCGCGACAGTGCGAATCAACGTTGCCTGGCAATCCAGAAACAGCACACGCGCCGACCTGCAATAGGAAATCTTGCGTAGTGAGTGCTCGGCCTCGTGTCCTGGCGGGGTTCATCGGGACAACCAGATCCTCCTCCCCCACACTTAACTTGACACTTCCTCCCCCTCCTCCTCCTCCTTCCTCATGTGAAGAAGTGATGGGCTCCTTCTGTTGCTGCTCCTCCTTCTCCTCCTCCCCCTCCTCCTCCTCCTCCTCCTCCTCCTCCTCACCTCCATCCACCTTCAGTTTGTCCTTACAAAGTGTTACATGCACTTGGGATTCTGGGGAGACAGAGCGCATTCAGTCACCAGTACATGCGAAATCGTATTCCCACGAGCCCTCTGGGCGTAGGTGGTCTAGAGAGTTTTCTCATCCACCCCCTTCTTCTCCTTCGGGGAAGGGTTTACCCTTCCAGGAGCGAAACGATTGGCGATGCAACGCGTGGCTGGAATGACACGTGGCGCACTTCGCGCGATGGACATGCTGCCGCCGACGATGCAACATGAGAGGCCGGAGCGGGGCGGTTCTCGTCAACGTTGCTCAATACGCGGCAGGAATAGGACGCAGCTCATGTCGCGCGCTGAACGTCTAGCCGCCCACGATATAAGATGAGCGACAGGCGTCGGACGCGACGCACTTGTTTCTTATGTTGTGGGAGGGCGGGTGGCAGTGGACGAATCCCTCTGGCTCGTTCGAGCTGGCTAACTTGACCCCTCCCCCTAGCCCATCCCCTGGACCTGGAGAAGGTGTTCCCCGAGGCTTGGTGGCCCAAGATAGCCCTGCCTCAGAGAGCCCAAGGTGACTTCCCAGATGGCCCAAGATAGCCCTAGATGGCTCAATATGGCTCCCAAGATGCTCCAAGAAGCCCCAAGACCGCTCGAAGACGGTTCCGAGTGGCCACGGAGCCCCCCAGGAGGCTGCCAAGAGGCCAAAATCCTGTAAAACCTGAAACAACTCAATACATATTGCCTTCTTGCTCGTCGCTCCCGATGGTCTTCCGAGGCGGCCTCAAGACAGCTCCAACAGAACGCATGAAGGCCCTAAGAGAGGCCCAAGAGAGCCCCAACACGGCCACAAGAGCGCCCAAGGAGGCGATTTGGGGGGAGGTCGCAATTGGAGATCCCATCATTTTTATCGATCTCACCCGAGGTGGCCCCAAGAACGCTCCCAAGGCTCCCAAAAGCGCCTCAAGAGGGCCCCACAAGAAGCGCCCAGGAGGCCCCAAGAGACGCCCAAGAGGCCGCCAAGAGGATTCCAAGAGACCCCGGATTCCAAGAGACCCCCAAGAGGCCTCAAGAGGTCCCACGAGGCATCCAAGAGAGCTCCAAGAGGGACCCTTCATCTGTGTGCTGCCCACTTCCCTGATCGAGGCAACTCCTCTGGGCATCGTCTCTGGATGGGCTGGTGGGGTTACTTTGTAGTCTGCGGCCGCAGGCGAGAGCGCCAGCGGCGAGTCCAGTCAGAGCGGGCCGCGCAAAGACAAATTAACCTAAAGCGGTGGGCCGGAGCCTCAGACGGGGCTGCTGGGAGTACTTTTTAGTCAGCGGCCGCGGGCGAGCGCGCCAGCGGCGAGTCAGATCCAAGCGGGCTACGCAAAACTGCTGGCAAGAAATTGTATCATCCTTTCTCCACCGTCCTACTCATCGTCCTTCTTTCCCGACCCACTCCAACTCGGCGTCCTCCTTCTGCCTCCTCCCACATCCTTGCACCCCTGATCACTCCCCTCCTCCTCCTCCTCCTCCTCATCCTCCTCCTCTTGGTTCCTCCTCCTCTTGGTTCCTCCTCCTCCTCCTCCTCCTCCTCCTCCTCCTCCTCCTCCTCATCCTCCTCATCCTCCTCCCCTCCTCATTCTCCTCCTCCTCCTCCTCCTCATCCTCCTCCTCTTGGTTCCTGGTTCCTGGTGGCATGAGGTCCGGGTGGGGGTGCTGCCTCCCGACTCCTCCTCTTCCGGCTTCTGCTCCTTCCCATCATCCTCGTCCCTCTCTCACCCTCCCTGCTCCTCCATCTTTCTCACCGGCATACGGCTGCTCTGGCTGGGGTATCCCCAAGCTTCCCCATTCCCGTCCTCGCCTGCGGTGGAGGAAAGAACATTCCAGTCTTCCCGCGAAACGTGCGCGTCCAACGAAGCAGACTACTCAGATGTGACACGCGTTCTCATGATGATGCGTTCAGCGCGCCCCTCTAAGCTTCCCGCATGTCCTCCTCCTCCTCCTTCTCCTCCTGCTCCTCTTCATCCCTGCCTTCCTCCTCGTTCCCCTGCTCTTCACTCTCTACCATTATCCTTCTTGTCGCCTCTTCCTCATCTACTCCCCGTTCCCTCCTCAGCCACAAGCTTTCTTCCTCATCGCCCGTCCGCTTGCCATCGGTCCCACAAAGAGTGTGCAAGCGCGCTGGCAAGGAATGAGGGACGAGGACAAATGGTACAATGAGAAGCATGAGGGACGGCGGGGCGAGAACAGAAACAACAAATGAGGAAGGGGGTCAAGAGAAGGAGCATGGGGAGGGAGGAGGAGGAGGAGGAGGAGGAGGAGGAGGAGGAGGAGGAGCGAGGGGGGAGGACGATGACATACTCTGATGGGTAAGAGAGACGAGGCGGGGTGGTGGAGCATGATGGGGAAGAGGAGAGGGAGGAGGTGGGAAGTGCAAATAGAGAGGAGGAGGAGGAGGAGGAGGAGGAGGAGGAGGAGGAGGAGGAGGAGGAGGAGGAGCAGCCTCGCCGTCCTGCCCCACGATGGCCACACCAAAGCGTTTGGGCGACCCCCGCTCGCCGCCCGTCCGGCGGAGCAGGCCGGCACGCGCAGCGACGCCTGCCCCTTGCCCACCTCCATCTCGACGTCGGCCTCGCGCGGGGTCGAGCGAGAAAGACATGCCGGGGGGGGGGGGGAGAGGGCAGGGGGAGCCTGGCTGCTGGGTGGGGGGGGGAACGGTCCCTGGGGTGAGGGGGAACGACCGCTGACATCCTGTCGTTGCGAAGCAGTGCGACGGTGCTTGTTCGTCCATCTTCGGCCTCTGGGGGCCCTGACAGGGCCCCAGGACCATCAGCAACACGACTCGGGATGTGAGAAACCGGTAGGGAGAGGGTCCAGACCTCTGGGTAGAGCCGCTGTAACAAAATCACGACGTCGAACGTCTGGGACAAGGAGGGGACTGGCTCCGGGTTGGGAACATCGAGCTGGAAGCGGCGATACGACAGGCCCTCGACGGCGACACCGCGCAGTCCTGTTCCCCCTATCACTGCCGACCGAAAACGGGGGGGGAGAAGGCACAGAACTGATTGATGTGCGTTGGCATTTGATGTCCCTGTCGGGGACTCCCAGGGAATGAGGGCGATGACGATGACGCTGCTGAGGTTTTCCAGCGAACGAAGGCAGTGCTTCTGAAATGTCACTCGAAACGCACTGCAGGAACTTTTTTTGCAAGGAGTGCACCAGGCACGGGAACCCCAAGAGGGCACGGGGCTCGCCAAACGCGTGCAGTGAGAGGCCCCCGTCGTACTCACAGCATTGACAACTGTCAGCTCATTTGAGCCCGCGCCGCTGAAGAACAACACAGTCCTCTCACAGCCCTCCTTGCGGGGATGGACAGACCTCCCTTTAGTAAAACGTGGTTTAGTGAAAACGACCTGAGGCCCACACCTGGCGGGCGCAAGCCTGGAAAATAACGGCCGCGGCGCCCTCTCGAGAACCGAAAACGGACAACTCACTAATCGACGTGTCACTGTTGGGGGTTCTGTCCACCCCCGATCCTTGCCCATCGGTCGGAAGAAGTGGGCAGAAGCATGCAGTAGGAAGGCGTTGGAAATGGATCGGGTTTCCGCCCCGCCTCCTGAAGAGGGGAGGAGAGGGAAAACCACTCGACTCTTGAAGCAGGAAGGCGCTGAAAGTAGACCGGAATCTGGGAATCCAAAAATACTTACTTTCAACGACCGAGGAGGTATCCTCCCCCACTCGACTCTTGAAGTAGGAAGGCGCTGAAAGTAGACTTGAATCTGGGAATCCAAAAGTACCTACTTTCAACGACCGAGGGGTATCCTCCCCCGCCCCTCGTCGAGTCCTGGAGTCGGGCCGCGGGGCCGTCGAAGGGGCGCCCCTGGGGGGGCAGCATGCGCTCCGCAGAGCGCCAGCACCGACGCTGCGGGCAGCGCGGCCCTGCAGATCGCCAGAGGGGAAAAGGGAGGGAAAGGGGGGGGAAGAAGGGGAGATGGGAAACGATGGGAAGGGGGGGAAGAAGGGGAGATGGGAAACGATGAAAAGGGGGGGAAGAAGGGGAGATGGGAAACGATGGGAAGGGGGGGAAGAAGGGGAGATGGGAAACGATGGACAGGGGGGGAAGAAGGGAAGATGGGAAACGATGGGAAGGGGGGGAAGAAGGGAAGATGGGAAACGATGGGAAGACGGGGGGGAAGAAGGGAGGGAGGCGGGGAGATGGGAAACGATGGGAAGAAGGGGGGGAAGAAGGGAAGATGGGAAACGATGGGAAGACGGGGGGGAAGAAGGGAGGGAGGCGGGGAGCTGGGAAACGATGGAGAAGGGGAGAAGAGAGAAACGGAAGAAAACAAAAACTGCTGCAGGTGGCGTCCGGGGACGCCGAGAAGACGGCGGTCCGGGGGAGAAGCGTGCTCGGCGCGGCCACACAAAAACAGACGCCGTCGCCGTGCGCGAGCATCTGCCGGACAGTGGCAATGATGCTCGCTGGCGGTCCCGCCCGTTCTCGGGGCACCAGCCATCACGATGTGATGCAACAGACTCCTTCGCCGCTTTGCTGCCTGCTGGGCACGAGTTGGGGCCTCATGCCAGGCTCCCTGAAATACTCGAAGCATGTATCTGAGGACGTGGTCCAAGGAGCTTTCTCTTCTGGTGCTCTCGGGAGCCTTGGCGTCGAAGCTGCGCCCGTCATTGGGCGGACATTCCCGCATCTGCAAGATCGGCGGACATTGAGCTGCGAACATATGGTTGGAACAACACATGCGGATTCTCTTACCAAAAACTTCCGGCGTGGGCACGGTGCTAAACGCTCCGTCCCCCATGCCTTAAATCACGCAGGGGAAAAAGGCAACTAACAGGCCTAAGATCTAGCGCGAAGAAAACATATCCCGGCTCCACCATTGCGGGTCCACTAGGCTGCACGGCCCTGGCCTTTAAAGCAACGACGCACTATACCAACATGATGTAAGGTGTGCCGCACATTTCAGACTGCGAGGGCCGTGCAGTTCGGACTGTCCTGAGCACCGCCATGCGCACCTAACGCGGCAATGGATCTCCAATTGCTAAGGTAAGAGTTGAGTCGAGCCCTGATGGCTGGGGCTCAGTCTCAAGTGCAGCAAGCGAATTACAGCGTTGAACCAACACTCTGCAACAAAACAGCATGTGTGCAAGAACAGCACCGTGCTGCGGCGCCTGTGAAACCTGTTGGGCACACGACTTTGTGCAGAGAGCAGCGAGCAGGAGAGGACCAAGCGAGCAGCTCATGCACGCGTGACTGCAAAAAGCAGAACAGCCCCTGCCGCTCTGCTTGACCAGGCCGCAGGGCTTCATCAGACTGTGAAAGCCTAGGCGGCCGCAGGCGCCAAGTCACCGCGCGCCCGCGCTCGCCCTCGCCCGGGCGGTGGCTTTGCGGAGGCTGCGCCACGAGAAGTGCTTCTGCTTCACCTTGTTGTCGGCGGCCCGCGTCCTCCCTGCCGAAGTGCAAACATGACAAAATTGGCAGAACTCCCCGTTTCTGCAGCCGCGCTCCGCGAACAGGCAAGGGCGGCACCTGCCCGTCGAATGCAGGATAGACCCCCATGTCGGGCCCAAGTCGTGGGTGGCCCCCTCAGCGACCCGCGACGTCGTCGAGACGGGAATGGACGCCTCCGCCGCGGGCGCGGAGCAGCGCCCCCCCGCCGTCGCGGGGGCCGAGCTGGAGCGCACGCGTGTGTCCCGACCCGCGTCTGGCACGTGCAGGAACGTGTTGAGAACTCGCAGGCCGTCCTCCACCACCGCCCTGTCGACGGGCGCCCGGTCCCGGGCGCCGCCGCCGCCTCCCCCGTCTGCGGCCCGCTCCTCTGGCAAGACACCAGCGGGAGAGGCATCACCCGGCCGCCCACCCCTGGCCATCTCGCTGCGCTCGCCGCCCGCCTTTGATTGAGGGCAGGGCCTCACCACGCTTGGGCGGAGCGAGCGTGGATGTGCCTTAAACGCGCCCCTCGAGACCCAAACCGCTTGAGCCCAAATGCCTTGAGCAATTATCCCGGCAAAGCAACCTAACAGCGATGTGTAGAAGCATATCTGAAAGCATTCCCCTTAAGATTCAGATGAAAATCCAGTTGTAGAATTCTGCTGTTCTCGCAGTCGTAGTCGCATTCGCGATGACAGTCGCAGCGGCAACGGCAGTCGCAGTCACAGCCTCAGCCTCAGCCTGCCTCAGCCTCAGCCTCAGCCTGCCTCAGCCTCAGCCTGCCTCAGCCTCAGCCTCAGCCTGCTTCAGCCTCAGCCTCAGTCTGCCTTCAGCCTCGGCCTCAGCCTCAGCCTGCCTCAGCCTCAGCCTGCATCAGCCTCAGCCTCAGCCTCAGCCTGCCTCAGCATCAGCCTGCCTCAGCCTCAGCCTCAGCCTGCCTCAGCCTCAGCCTCAGTCTGCTTCAGCCTCAGCCTCAGTCTGCCTTCAGCCTCGGCCTCAGCCTCAGCCTGCCTCAGCCTCAGCCTGCCTCGGCCGCAGCATCAGCCTGCCTCAGCATTCAAAATGTGGCCCAGGAGCGGAGTTCTGGGAACTAGAAGAACACGAAGTGGCCTACAGTTGGCTCCGGGCATTCAAAATGTGGCCCGGGAATGGAGTTCTGGGAACTTGAAGAGCACGAAGTGGCCTACAGTTGGCTCCGGGCATCCAAAATGTGGCCCGGGAATGGAGTTCTGGGAAGTCGAAGAGCACGAAGTGGCCTACAGTTGGCTCCGGGCATCCAAAATGTGGCCCGGGAATGGAGTTCTGGGAAGTCGAAGAGCACGAAGTGGCCTACAGTTGGCTCCGGGCATTCAGAATGTGGCCCGGGAATGGAGTTCTGGGAGGTCGAAGAGCACGAAGTGTGTGACTGTTTGCGAAAAACGAGTGCGGCGGCAGCCGCGCCGGGTCCCGCCCCGGGTCCCGCCCCGACCCCCCTGAGGAGTCATGATGCTCTCTTTTGAGACCACTAGAAAACTATCAGCAAGAGCTGTTAGGTAAAAAAAGGGCTACGGACGAGACTCTTCATAGAAACTGAGACCTCTTCCGGTTTTTATCGGCGGAAAGACACCTGCCCTGTACACTTCTCCGACGGAATGGATACGTATCCGTGATCGTCGGTTCCTTTTGTCTCACACGGTGTGAACTCTGATCGCCCGATGTGCTTGACGTAGAAACTAAAATATGTGAGACCACTTTCCGTGCGTCTGTGAACGCCTTTCAGCTCAAGCTTCCCCAAAGCAATCCGTTCTGGAGCCACTACAACACATTACGACGCAAAGTGCTGATAACCCTCCAATCGTGTTTTGCCTCTGCCCAACACCCTGTGATATTTAACTCTTGAGTGTCTATATCCGCACACTGTCCACCCATTGGAGAACACCCCTTAACATGAAGCGGTGCGCGTGCCTGCCTTCAGCGAAAGATGTTTACAACACTATGTTGGCCCCGTCCCATGGGAAGAAAGCTGGCCAAGCGGGGCTCCGAAAGGAGAAGAGTCGGTGAGGCCACAAGGGGCGCTTCTCTTGAGACTTCCACAGTCTGGCCGCGAACGAACAAGTGTCGTACCCCTCCTCCTGCTCCTTCTCCTCCTCCTCCTCCTTCTCTTCCGCCTCCTCCTCCTCCTCCTCCTTCTCCTCATCCTCCTCTCCCATGGCGGCTCACCTTCGAACGCCCAAGTGCCATGCCTGCTGCATCGCGGCGAGCATGTGGCTCTGATGAAAGGGCGGAGTCCGTGGAGCTTACAGGGGCGTCTCGCCTCAGACATCCCCAGAGTCTGGCCGCGAAGGGGCAAGTGTCCAACCCCTCGACGACTCCCCTCTTGAGTGTCAAGATGATATATGTCCTATGGCTGCTGCATCGCGGAGATCATGGGGTTCTGAACGGGGAGGAGCCGGCGAAGCCAACGGTAGCGTCACAACCAGTCTGGCCGCACGGGCAAGTGCCCCAGGGGTGCCGGAGTGTCATACCTGCCACATCACAATGGTTATGGGGCTCGAAAAACAGAGGAGGCGGGATTCGCCCGAAACATCTCCACAATCTGGCTGCGAACGGGCAAGCGTCCTACCCTTCGGCAGTTCCGCCGTAGGGGGACTACATGGTGCGCATACTACATCGCAGTTGGGGGGTGACTGAAAGTATGAGTGAGTCTGAATATGTCTGAGACTGAACACATGAGCCTAACTACGAGTGACGAGTGTATATCAGTGTGAGTAGCCTGAAAGAGCGAGTCCGAAGGTGAGTGAGTCGGAGTGTAGCTGAGTCTGAGCATTAGCGAACTCGACGTGAATGATCAGAGTGTGAGCGATCCGTGTGGATGAGTCTGAGTAAGCCCAAGCGGGGTATGAGTGAATATGGGTATGATTTGTCTGAGTGCGATTGAGTCTGAATATGAACATGTCTGCACATGAGCGGGTCTGATTGCGTGTGGTCTGAGTATGTGTCGTCTGAGTGTGAACGAGTCAGATCAAGGAGGCGGGTGAAGAGGCGGGAGCGTAACACCAGCAACACAAACCTCAGACCTAGGATGTGGGACAGGAGGGAAACGTCACACGAGATCCACTCCTACTCTTAAGTCGGGCCTGTCCCCCTACAGGGGGATTTTGGACGAAAAATAAAAAATACCCCTAAAATCATCAAAAAAGGTAAAACAATATTCAAGAAATAGTCCCCAGACTATTTTGGGACTATTTTTGGATTATTTTTGGGGTATCTTCTATTTTTCGTAGAAAATCCCCCTGTAGAGGGACAGGCCCGACTTAATCCTACTCCCTCCCGGCCTGCTCGCTGCCCCTCGCCCCGCGACGCCGGGAGGCCCGTCGAGGGCGGGAAGCACGGCCGGCGCTGGAAAGCCAGCGCGCCACCTCCGCCCACTTCCGTGCACGCCATGCCCCTGCCAATGCAAGGGCTCCCAACTTCGCGCTTCGCGCTCCGCGAAGCGCGAATGACTTCGCGCTCTCGCGCCGCCCCCCCCAAAGGGAGAAAAGGAGGACGAGGAGGAGGGGGAGAAGGGCCGCGAAGCGCGAATCACTTCGCGCCCTCGAGGGCGCCCTTGGAAGACACGCCATCCCCGTGAGGCGACTCCCCCCCGCGAGGCCCCACTTCCGTGCACGCCATGCCCCTGCCAATGGTTCTTCTCGTTTGGACGCCCCAAATGGGTACCGAACAAATGGGTACAATGCCCAACAGCAAATGTTGTCCCAAACCAACAGCGGCCGCTGTTGGGCAGGCGGCCTTCTGTCTCGAATGGACACAGGCCGCGGCGGCGTGGACAGCGAATCCTGTTCAAAAGGAACAGGAATTGCTGTTGGGCGTCGTACCCATTCTTTCCGTACCCATTTCGGGCGTCCAGACCCAAGGCAGGGCACATCGCGCAATCAGCGGGCCGGCGGCGCCGCACCGCGCGTACATCCACACCGGCGGCGGCGCGGTCCGGACCCCTCGGCCGCGACCCCGTGGACACCTGGCGGCACCAGTGCGCGGATGCCCCGCGCGCGAGGCTCTCGGGGGATCGCGTCTCCGCGGGGTCGCGCCTCGGAGTCAGGACTCTCTTGACAGCCCCGCAACCCAAGCGCAACCGCGCGCGCGCGGAGTCAGGACCACCAGGTCGTGAATCTGGAAAGGGAATCTGCAGCAACCTGAACATGCATGATCGGAAGTCCGCACGGATCTCTTGGAGCGGCGCTGGGCCCCCCTCCCTGGCGCGCGGAGCGCGCCAGGGGAAGTGCCAGTGGCGCCGCCAGGGACCTCAAAGGGGAGGGAAGAGGAGAGAGTTTGGGAGGGGAGAGGGGAGAGGGGAGACGGGAGAGTTTGTTGTTCTTCGAGCTTGGGAGGGAAGAGAGGAGATCGAGGCCTCAGAGGCAGTGCAGGGTCCCCGTCAGGGCCCCAAGAGAGCCCCAAAAGGGCCCAGAGAGGGCCCCAAGAAGATCAGCTCTCTTCCGCAGCGCTGCTGAATGGGCTGGTCGGGATACGCCCAGCGTGAAGAGTCATGGCAATGCAGTGTTTTGCTCCTCGAGTTCTTGGAGAGAAGACAGGATGAGGACTGAGCGGGCCCTCGGGCGGGCCTCGACGATCGTGACGCCTATGTCGGCCAGGAGAGCCACGAGGTCTGCCTCTCGCAGGGGGGGGGGAGGGCTTCCTCCTGCTCCGCCTCCTTCTGCTGTTGCCCTGCGCCAGGCCCCTGAAGGCGAAAACGAGGCCAGGGTGGCGGTATGGGTACCTTTTCCTCCTCTGATAGATGTGTATTCTCCCCCTCCTCATCCTTTCTACTGCTATTCCCCTTCTTGCTTGGCCCCTTCCTGTGCGGGGCGAGGGCAAGTTGGAGAAGCGACAACAAGGGGTTGGATGGCAGGAGAGGGCAAGAAAGGTGGCGACGACGAGGGAATGGGTCAACAGACCCTGAGCACCAACCACTTCTTGTAAGTGAAGATATCATGCGCCCAACGTTGCTGCGATCAGCTGAATGGTGAACGGTGTCGAAACAATACAACGACAGCGCGACAGGAAATAACGAACGCGCCCTGTAATGGCCACGAGCATTTCATGCTATGCGGCCAAGAGCTCCATTTCGTGCCCATAACATACCCGAAACACGGATACGGTGAAACAGAAACGACGTGATACACCGCCGCCCTCTGAAAACGGGGAGCGGCTGAATCTGCGAGTGTGCGTCGTCGGGGTTGCCGCTCGCCTCACGAGTGCTCGCCCTCCGCAGCCCCCCATCTCCAGCGCCAACGTGGCACTGACGCTGAGCGTGCCCCGCCTTCGCTCTCGAAGTCGTGACGTCGCTCGGCCTCTGAAGGACATGCGGGGGCAGCGGCGACGCATCGCCGATGCATCGCCGATGCGGCGCGATCCTCCGACCCTGTCTGCTCCGAGCTCCGACCCCATCTGGGAGGCCGAACGGCTCCCAATGAAAGAGGCCGGCGCACCTCGTCGGGGCTCTTGCGTGATGGCGCGTTCCCAGGTCCCGTTGGCGTCCGCTCGACTCGGATCTCGCGTGTCGCCGCGCGCACGGCCGCGACTCAATAATGCGTGTGCGTGTCATGATTCTGGCATCTCTCATGGGGCCCTCTGGGAGGGGCCTCTTGGAGCCCTCTTGGGCCGTCTTGGGGGCCTCGTGGGCGCCCTTGGAGCGAGACAGAAGCCCCGTGGATGACGACAGCCCCGCGCCGAGCCGCCCCACAAGCCCGCCGAACGCGCCGAAGCCCCGCACAAGACTCCGACGCTCTGGGGGGCCGGAGGGAAGTCAGGAGCGGCGAACATGTCCGCATCAGCGCCCTCCCTCCTGCTTGCTCCCCTCTGCCCCCCTGCTCCCCCCCTCCCTCCACCCTTGTCCTGCTCCCCTTCCTGCGAACCCCCACCCTCTCCCACATTCCGCATCCCCCCTCTGGCTTTCTCGTCCCGCCCCTGATCCTGCCCCTGGTCATCCTTCCACTCGTCACCCCCCCCGCCACCCACGAGCGGCAAACAGATCCGCATCCGCGCCCTCGCGGTCTGGATTCTGGGACGCGATCCCGCGGGTTACGCGGCCGCACGGATACGGTCCTCGCGGGGACGGACCGTATCCGCGGTGTCGTGGCCCAGGGGCCCGGTCCGCGAGGCCGCGGAGACGGACATGGTTTCGCCCACGAGAAAGGGAGGAAAGGGAGCGAGGCTTACGTGCTCGACCGTTGACCCCTTGTTATCCATCGGTCCTGGGCCGTCTCGGCGGTCTTCGGTGGTCTTCGGGCGGTCTTCGGCGGTCTTCTCACGGTCCTCGGCGCGAAAGCTTCATAATTCCAGTTAACAGGGGGTCCATAATCGAACACCCAAGAGAGTGAGCGAAGGTAAGGGCGGGAGGAGCAGGGACAGAGCCCTGAAGAACCGCCTTACAGGGCAAGCGCAGGAGGTACCGAAGAACAGGCGCCGGCGACTGGAGGAAGCAGTTGGCAACCACGATATCGGACCAATGCTACACTGCGGCCGACCCTGCCGTCGAGGGTCGGGCGCGGGAGAGAAGCGTGGACCGTCGTGGCACACTGCGGCAGGGACATAGAGGACCCTGCGAGCTTCAGAAACCCTGAACGCCCGAGGGCTGCTCGCATACAGAGTGCGGCAGCGGCCAGCCAAAGGGGCAGCTGGGCAACCACATGTGCGCCCTAGTCCTGCAGGACAGATCTCTCAAACTTCAGCTGCGGCTCAAAATGAAGACCCAGCGGCAGCTTTTTGGGTCGGTTCCACGTCGGATGTACGTCGGATTACGTGGGATGTACGTCGAATTCACGTCGGACTTACGTTGGAGCATCGCCGCGCGAACGTCGATACATATTTGCGGAGCGCACGTGTGGACTAGATGGTACAACTACTGCGCGTCGGCCGAGGCCTCCAGGAATTTCTTCATGTGGACGTTCTCGTATTCGGGGTCCGACATTGGGCGGGAGAAGGGGGGGGGTCTGGCTCGGGACCTCTGCTGAATGCGACTGTTTGCAACAAAGCGTCCTATGGGGAAGACTCCACCCGCCTGAAACAGGCGTCAAAAGCAGCCAAAATCTTCTCCATGGGCGCGGGACGCGGTGGCGCGAGGGCCCGCGCCGATCGGCAAAACCATGAACAACAACAAAAAAGTCACCGTAGGACACCCCAGCGTTGCATGGATGGCAAGGCTCGCCTGAGTGGGCCCCGGAAGCGGCAGGGCCGGTTTTTCACCGCTTCCGAAAAAAATCCCTCCCTTGAAAATGGAAACGGTAAAAAAACGGCGACCGGAAACGGCAACAACAACGGCTCCAGGATTGGAACCCGAGCGGGAACCTGAAAAAAGAACGGCGACGGCACCGGTAAAAAAAAAACGGCGTCGGAACCGGCAACAAAGACCGGGAAAAACGGAACCGGTGAAAAAAAAACGGCCCTGCCGTTCCCAGGGCCCGCTAAGGGGCTCGCAGGTGGCCGCAGAGCAGCAGGAGGGATGCCTTCACGGCGTCCTCGTGGAGCGGGCGGAGCAGGAGCGGGCGGAGCGGCGCGGCCTTCGCGGCGCCCTCGTGGACGGGGCCCAGCCAGATGCCGCCCCCCTCGCAGGGGCCGTCCGAGGTGCGGGCCTCGGCGAGCTCGTCTGGGCGGAGCAGCACGTGGTAGGGGATGTAGTATCTCCAGGGGCGTGCAGCGCGGGCGGAGGACACGTCCGCAGCGTGCGACCGCGCAGTCCACCCGCAGGGGTCGCGCCCCGGGGTCCAGACCGCCAAGGGGCGCAGAGAAGCGGATCTGTGCTCCGCTCGCGAGTGAGGGAGGGGGGGGCGAGTGGAGGGATGAACAGGGGCAGGACCAAGGGCGGGACGAGAAAGCAGGAGGGGGAGGGTGGAATGGGAGAGAGGGGGGGGATAGCGGCGATGAAGTGGGGGAGGTAGCAGGAAGGGGAGCAGGAGGAGGGCAGAGGGAGGGAGGGAGGGAGCAGGAGGGGCGAGGGCAGCAAGAAGGAGGGAGGGACGGAAGAGCGAGGAGTGAGCATGAGCGAGGAGGGGAACAGGATGAGTGAAAAGGATTGGGGAAAAAGCAGAAGAGAGGAACGGAAGAGGATCAAGGACGAAAAGAGAGCGAATTGACACTGAAGGGAGCAAAGAAGAGGGCGCCAGGGGAGGAGAGGGGGAGCATTGACGGAAGAGAAGGAAGAACTCCGCCAAGACGATCATAGGCTGCATATTCATGACAGACACGTCACCAATTTTCTCTCGGCTCCCGCTGTCCCCGTCCCGCGTCCCAACATCCCTGGAGAGCAAGAGAGAAGGAGAGAATGTTAAACGTCATAGATATGGAGGGCAGAAAATAATGTGACTGAGGATGTCGAGGAATATCGAAATCCATAGAGAAACACATACCTATACGACCACCCTTCGGGTGATAAGGAGGTTCGGGGGGGGGAGGATGCAGCGTCTCACTCGATCGGTCTCACTATCCATCTCACTATCGGTCTCGCTCGATCGATTTCACTCGATCGATCTCACAATCGATCTCACTCGATCTATCTCATTCGCTCGGTCTCACAATTGATCTGATTATCGATCTCACAATCGATCCCACATTCGGTCTCACTATCGATCTCACTACCGATATCACAATCGATCTAACATTCAACGTCATCACCATCAACAACAACACCACCATCTCCATCGTCATCGGGACACTGTCATCTTCACATCATCATCGTCGCCATCATCATCAACGCCATCATCATCAGGCCATTATCATCAACGCCATCATCATCTCATCATAGTCATCATCATCATCATCATCATCATCATCATCATCATCATCATCATCATTGGGACACAGCCATCGTCATCATCACCATCAACATCAACATCATCATCGGGACACCATCATGGTCACCATCATTTTCATCGTCAACATCATCAACAACAACATCGGGACACCATCATCATCATCATCATCATCAGCATCATCATCAGCTCATTATCATCATCAACATCATCAACTGCATCATCAACATCATCGGGGCACCATTATCATCAGCAGCATCATCATCACCAACATCATCATCAAAATCATCATCGGCACACCATCACCATCACCATCATCATCACCACCGTCATAATCATCATCATCATCATCATCATCGGGAGACCATAATCATCATCAGCAGCACCATCATGACCAACATCATCATCAAAAACAACGGGCAGAAACATCATCATCATCGTCATCTCATCATCATCATCATCATCATCATCATCATCATCATCAACATCAACATCAACATCAACATAATCATCATCACCAGGACACCATCATCGTCATCATCATCACCATCAACATAACCATCATGATCATCATCAACAACATCATTATCGGGACACCGACGGGACACCGACGGGACACCGGCGGGACACCGCGGGCCCCCGGCCGCCCGGAAGGGAGTCATTTGGTCCGGCCGCGCCTCAGCCACACGGGACACCGGCGGGACACCGCGGGACACCGCGCGCCACCGGCCGCCCGGCGGAGAATCATTTGGTCCGGCCGCGCCTCAGCCACAGGAGACTTTCCTCTCGCCCGCCCACGCAGCTTCGCCTCGCCCGCACGGCACGCACGAACACGAAACCGAAATCGATTTCCCGGTAGGGGGCTCTCCGTTCCACTTCGATCTCACCCCCCAACCTCCGATAGATAACAAGAGTGAGATGAATCCCCACTCACAGTTCAAAAACAAAAATCATAACGAGAGAGAGAGAGAGAAAGAGTGAGAAAGGAAGAGAGGGAAGCGCAACTATATATATATAGAGAGAGAGAGAGTGGGGACATATCTGTTGTACTAGAACCATCACGCGCGCTTCGCGTGCGCTCAAATTCTAGACCGTTTATCGGCGGAGCCTGTTGCAGCAACACAAGGTGAAATATCGGCGGGGCCTGCGGCAGCAGCACGCGTTCGGCCCAACGGTCCTGCATGACTCCAGGGTAGCCCATGGAAGCCTCGTGGGCTACCGTGGGCCTTCGTAAGACTGTCATCGGGACATCCAAGGAATTGCTTGGGAATCATGGGACACGTTTGGGAGCATCCAAGTCAATCTTGGGCGGTTGGGGATTCTGGAAGGTGAGAGCACGCATGCGTGCCAAGCGCACTACGGGAACCGCGGCGGCGACGGCGTCGAGGACGAGACGGGCAGGGGGAGAAGAGGGAGGGCAATGTGGAAGGGGAGAAAGAGGAGGACTGAGAAGAGGAGAGAAAAATAAAGAGAGATTGAGAGAGAGAGAGAGAGAGCGAGGAAGAGAGACATAAAGAGAGAGAGAGAGAGAAAGATAGAGAAGGGAGACCAGAGGGCGAGGGATGGGGGAGCTGGAAACGAAGTCATTGGTACGCCAGCGCTAGGCACAAATGTAAGCGGAGGGGGGGGTCGAACTTGAAAGATCAAGGCGTTGTGGGGATTCCTGTTTTTTGCAAAAGCTAGGGCGAAGCGGGGCGAGGCAGACGGAGAGAGACACGCGAAGGAGAAATGAGGAGGAGGAGGAGGAGGAGGAGGGAGGTAATACTGAGGAGGGAGGAGCCGCCTCCTCCGAATTCGCCGCCATCTGGGATGCCTCGCGGCAGTCTCCCGGGGGCGTCTTGGGGGCGTCTGGAAAGCCCGTCGAGTCTCGTGGGGGCGCCTCTTGGGCCTCCTGCAGCCTCTTGGGGCTTTTGGGGTCTCTGGCGGAACTTCTTGCGGGCGCCTTGGAGTTCAACGGCCTGCTGAATGCATCGTGGGATCCCTTGGAGGGTCCGTCGAAGGTCTCTTGGAGGGCTCTTGGGGAGATCTTGGGGACTGGTGGCCTCTTGGAGCTTGTTGAGGGCCTCTGGGTGTGCTCTTGGAGCCCTACAGGGGGCTTTGGGGGCCGATTGGGGTGTCTTCGAAACACAAAGGGGAGAAGAAAGAGAAGGATGTGAAACGGAAAGCGAGAGAGAGAGAGAGATCAGTGGGAACGGACAGCGAGGGATGGGAGCAGCGAAAACGCGTTGTGGAGGGGGGGGCGAACTTGAACCGAAGCAAATATTGCTACAGGAGCTCATGTTTTCAAGTTTGGCCTATGAACACTTCGTGAGGAAGGGAGTTGGGTGAGGAGGCCGAGGAAGTAAGGAGTGAAGGAGAGAGAGGTGCACGGAGGCGGGAAAGTGACACAACAGGGAAAAGAGGGATGAGAGGAGAGAGGATGTCTCGTGGCAGTCTCCCTGGCGACGACGAGGGCCCGCCTGTACACGCGCTTCTTCGAGGCGTGGACCCTGTCGAACAGGGCCGGCGCGGTGGGCGCCCGGGCCGGCGCGAGGAGCCACACCTCGCGGCAGGGTCGCTGGGCCGCCCCCGGAGCGGGGGCGTCCCCCCGTCCCGCTCGGGGAGGACAGCGAGGGGCATAGTTGAGCAGGGACCGACTGCCCCGGCATTCCAAGAGGCCTGCCACGAACTGTTCCGGAAGAACCCCCAAGTGTTAACACTTGGGGGTTCTTAGAATTCTAAGAACCACAACAGTGCCCTTGGAACGGAAGCCCGATGTGATAAAACACAACCGTCTAATCCAGAGTCGTTCTAAGTATAAAGAACATTTCGTACATACCGCAAAAGGTTATTGGAACATTCTTTGGTGGGCCTGTATACCAGCCAGGACGCTTCGCCACTGCTCGACAAAAGACATAAAATGTTGGAGGTCCGCGCGGATTTCTCGGATCGGCGCTGGAGCGCACTGGCGCGCTCCGTGCGCCAGGGAGGGGGGTCCAGCGCCGATCCAAGACATCTGCGCGGGCATCCCAGATTCTATGTCGTATGTCAACTGTTGTAGATCTACCCTCGGCGCCAGACATCGGAAGGGCATTTGGTCGCAACATCGATCAGCATCGAATCGGGAGATCGAGTCGAGCCGGAACGTGCGTCGCATCGGGCCGCATCGGCACGCAGTCGAAATCGGATCTGACTGGCTGCACCCCGATGCACAACAGCGCCATGCAAGAATCGGGCCGCATCGGACCGCCAAGATATCGAAATCGAATTGGATCAAACCGGCCGAAACCGATACCGAATCGGATAGATCGGATCGAAATGGGCACTGGGTCGTGGGTCAGCGTCCAGCGGTAACTCCCACTCAAACTCCAACTGCGCAATTCGACGAGGGGACCGCGCGAGGGCCCGGAAAAACGAACGAGGCGAGGGCCAAAGAAAGACCCCCGAGCGGAGGGACCGACCACGGAGCAAACGAGGCACGTAAACCACGCAGGGACACGAAAGCAATCGAGCAGTGCAGGGCAGCGGGCGATGCCTGCATCGGAGGGGAGGGGGGGATGAAGACACAGACCCAGACCCCGTCGCATGGAGCAAAAATCACGACGGACGGCTTTGGACCGCTTCCGGCCTCTAGGGGCCCTGGCCGAGCCCTGGGAGGGACCGTCAAAACACGGCCAAGGATGAGAAGCCAGTCCCAGGGAACGGATCGAGACTTCTGGGGGTCGGCGCTGTGACAGAAATCACGACGTCGGGGGTCTGGAGGTCTCCATTCAAGAGGAAAGGAGAGGAGGAGGGAGGCATAGGGGGGGCCTCCTGGGGGGCATGGCGTGCGACCTCCTCACGATTCTCCGCTAGGAGGCGAGGGAGAGGTCCTGGTGGAAGGGGGCAGGAGAGGCCTCCAAGCCAGCCAATGGCCCCCACGCGCGCCTGTCTCAGGGCGGCTGCAAAGTTCATGCCCGTACGGCTGCAAAGTTCATGCCCGTACGGTGCCGCGTGATCATGGGCATCTCAGCTTTGCAGCCGGGGGGCAGGCGTCCCCGACGGCGGGAAAGTTCATTTCGTAACGTCCATCGCCCGCTAAGATTCAGCGCGCAAGGTGGACCAGCAAACGCAGCAAAACACGTGAGGGGACCAGGACGGGCCAAGCGTGAGCGAGAGCGTAAAAAACCCTGCTCAAACGCATGTGTTCGGGGAGTGGGGCAACTGCTCGTCTCTTGACCGAATGGGGAGGACACGACAAGTTCGTGCCGCGCCGGCTTCGCCGCTGCTGACACCGCGGGGATCGTTCAACCTTGAACGATCGAAAGACGAAGCCAGGACGAGGATAAACTAGCGAGGATAAATCGAGAACCTCTGAGATCCGGCGGCTCTGGAGGATGTATGGGGCGCCAGAAGGGTCTGCGAACGTTCTGGAATGCTCCGGAACGGATTCATCCTCGTCCTGGCCCCGTCCGATTCCTGACACCGCGGGGATCGTTCCACCTTGAACGATCGGCCGTTCCCGAAACGCCAGATCGTTCGGTGGTGGGCCGACTCTGGGCCACGAGCGGCGGGCGTTCCACCTGGCACGCCCGCGCTGGGGCCGCCGCCAGCCGACACGGCGCGAACCTGCCGCAGCGGGGAGACCGTGCCGACGAGGACAACGACAACAACGACGACGACGGCGGCGACGACGACGGTGAAGAGGTGGAGCCACTGCCCACGATCCTGGTCCATTCGTCGTCGTCGTCACTACCGCGAGCGGGAGACCTCTCCAGAACTCCAGGCGCCGCGGTGCAGAAGCACACACAGCGTGGTTTCGGCGTCCGGGTGGCAGCGCGACCTCTCTCTGCCTCGGCACCCGCGCGCCCACCCCCAGGAAGCAACTCACTGGCATTTTTGAAGTCCGTGGGCGCCAAGTTAGGCGGCCACATGTGAAACCTACAGTGTAGTCCACGACAGTCAGACGCTGGTCAGCAAGCCATGGGGTGCACCGTGAGCGAATCAGCCCACTGGCACAGGCAAGGTCCGACCTCGCCAGCGGCCTCGCGGCGCCGGGAAGCTGGCGGGGCAGCCAGGAAGAACAAGGGATACGCTGACCCAGCGGAGAGGAGACCAGCAGCTCCCACCGCCGCTCAAACGACACGGTCGACTCGGCAAGGTTGGGGTCCTGTCAACCTCCGACCATTGAGCCAGCCTGGACTGCGACTATAGCCGGGGACATGTCGACCCCAATCCCCGACTTCGTGGGGTTGGCGAGCGGATCAGAAACTTGGGGCCCCACTCGGGGATGTGCGGTAAGGGGGGCGTGCACCCTCGATAGGGGGTGCGTCCGAATTAGCCCCCCCCTCCTGGGGGTCATTATCCCCGAGCTCCCCTCCTTCTCAGAGCGGCTTGTTTCTCCGCGGAGAGGCCGGGGGTCGGGGGCGAGACACCGTCCGCGAACGAAAGGGGGAGAGGGACTCCCGAGGACGGTGGGCCACGTGCGGACGAAGAGGCGGAGCTCGACGAGAGCCCACTCCAGAGAGTCGCTCGGCCACTCCGCCAAGGGGCACGCAATCGGGGGAGGAGGAGGGGCCAGATGGGGGGGGAGGGGCAAGCCCTGCACGGGCCTCCCACGGCTTGCCCTGCTGAGCGGGGGAGGGGTGGGGGGGGCGGCCGGGCATCCACCGTGCGTCAGCATGGACGAGATGGATCTTGAGTTAGGCCGTGCGTCAAGAGGGGAGGACGCGAAGAGAAAGGAGGAGAGAGAGAGAGAGGGATGAGAAGGCAGAGAGGAGGATGGCACGAAGGGACAGGAGAAGGAGGAGGAGGAGGAGGAGGATGAGGAGGAGGAGGAGGAGGAGGAGGACGCGAAGAGAAAGGAGGAGGAGGAGGACGGGAAAATACAGGAGGAGAGTGAGAGGGATGGCGGTGAGAGAACGAGAGGACGAGCAGTGCGAGGAGAGGAGGTGGGAGGTGTCGCCAGGAGGGAGGAGGGAGCGGGAGGCGAGGCGGGAACGAAAAGGGCGATGAGCGCAGGCGGAGAGGACGAGAGGAGGGGATAGGGACAGAGGAGAAGGGGAAGAAAGGAAAGGACGAGGAGGAGGAGGAGGAGGAGGAGGAGGAGGAGGAGGAGGAGGAGGAGGAGGGAGAGGAGGAGGAGGAGGAGGAGGAGGAGGAGGGAGGAGGAGGAGGGAGAGGAGGAGGAGGAGGAGGAGGAGGAGGAGGAGGAGGAGGAGGAGGGGGAGGGGGAGGAGGGGGAGGAGGATAGCAAGAGCGTATTCTGTTTTCCGCGGCCATAAAGGGCGTTATGGGGGGCAAGGGAGGGGGGGTGGACGGGAGGAGGCAGAATGGTAGCGACCCCGCCACCCAGACCGTGATGCCGGACGCACTGCGGCGGTACCTGGGAAGCACTGATGGGGGGGAGCGTTACGTTGTGAGGGGGTGGCAGGGGGGGGGAGGGTAGGGGGCATAACGCGCGGTGTGGTCCAGAGGGTAACGAAAACTCTCCAAGAGGAACAGGGAATGAAGCAGGAGGAGAGACCCCACCCTTTCTGGACCCCAGGCCAAGGCCTCCGAGCGCTCCAGCTCCCGCCGCAGCGCGTCGTCGCGGCGGCCAGGGCGCGCGCTGGCGGAAAGCACCAGCACGTTCTCCGCCGCGTGGCAGCCCCGCTCGGTCCTCTGAGGCAGGTCATCGCCGCCGCCACCCTCCCTCCAGGAACGCAGGCCGAGGCTTGCACAGACGAGGCAAAGACCGGGACAAGATCGGACTGGGACCAATCGGCGACGTCTGAGATCCAACGGTTCTTCAGGCGCCGCGGCCCTTCCAGAAAGCTCCGAGACGCTCTGGGACCGTTCCGGAACGATCTGGAACGATTTCTCCCAGTGCTCGCCCCGCCCCCCAGCGCGTCACGGATCTGGCCGCAATCGACTCCCTGTCCCAAACAAGCGACCACTCCAGCGCACCCCGAGGGTGGTGGAGATCGGCCGAGCCCCCCGCCAGCGCGCAAGCCTGGCCGAAGACGTTGGCTACGTATACTCCACAGGGCTCGCCGCCCCCACGTCCAGAGCCGCGCTCTGGCAAGAGCGCCGGAGGGGCCTTGGCCGAGGCGACGGCGAGCCGCGCCCCCCCCCCCCGAGCCCCACAAAAGGGGTGATCGGGGCTCGCAAAGGTCGGGCGGGCGGGGACCCTCGGGCGGCGCTGGCAGAAGCCGGGCGGGGCCGGGGGCTGTGCTCTACTGCGGCTTCGTCCTGGCTTGTGCCGCTTGTGCCGCTTGTGCGCGCGACGTGCCCGGGTCTGAGCCCAGGAGCAGTGCACACGCCCTCCTGGCTTGGCCAGGATGGTTCGCACACCGCGACTCGATCCAGGGCCCGGAAAGGAGAGCAGTGAACACGTACGGTCAAAACTGACAGTGAGGATGCGCGGTAAGGATGCAGGTCCCCTGCACGTCCACGACGAAGCTTTTCGAACGGGGCTGGCCATCGAACGCGGTTAAGGATGTAACGAACAAAGGCAAACATAAAGGGTACCCTTTCGAAATTCATCAGTCCTTATCATCTGTTTCGACTATACACGTCGGTTGGAAGAATATGTAAAGCATGAAGTAAAAATGTAGATCAAGTGCATTTGGTCCAGGCCCTCCCAGAGAAAAACGAACACACTGCAAAATAATATGGATTATCAATGTAGGAAGGCGCCCGAAGTAGATTGGGATCTGGGAATCCAGAATTACCTACTTCCAACGACCGACGGGCATAGATCTCTCTCCCGATGGACCAGGCTGTATCCCGCCACTGGCGCCGCCGCCGTGATCGTCGCCGTCCTCTGCCGCCCATCCTGCTCCAACCTGCGGCTGCCCGGGGCCCTGGGTCCTCCTCCACCCACTGCTGCCTCCTCCTCGTGTGATGGGTCGATTTTCCACCACCACTGACGCAGGTAGGAGGAGGAGGAGGAGGAGGAGGAGGAGGAGGAGGAGGAGGAGGAGGAGGAGGAGGAGGAGGAGGACCTCCCTACCCTCCTTTCTCCCCCGTCCTACCTATGGTAGTGGTGGTGGAATATTGACCTATCCTCTTGAGCCTCCCCAAACCGCCTCTCCCTGATGCTGCCACGCTGCGGACGCTGCTCCCATTCTGGAGCCTCCTTCCTTGGCGGCGCACACAGGGAGGTAGGGGGAGGGGGGAATACTTCTTAGAAGAGGGCTGCTTCTCAGAAGGCGCCGGCCTTGCAACTATAGATAAGGTCCGCGCCTTCTCAGAAGCACGGTGCTTCTACGACGCCTTGCCCCTTCCCCCTACCCCCATCTGCGCGTGGCCGACTCCCTCTTCCCGCTGTGCCGCTGCTGATCCTGCCTCTTCACCTCATCACCCCGTGCACGTGCGCGTCCGAGGGCCTCCAGAATGCCGCCAAAGGCCAGCAAAACGCCACACTTCTGGACCTTCGAGCGTTCTCTTCCGCCAAGCCTGAGACCTGACACACTCACGGTGACAGAAGATCGAATACTGCTCTCTATCGACGGAGCCTGTCACCGCATGACTCCTGAAACATGCTCTCCGGACGGAAGGGACGAGCAAGAGGCGTGGAGCAGAGCCAACGGGGAGATGGAATGTAGAGAGCGAAGCAGTGGACGATCACCCTCGCCCCGGGTGGTCTCGAGCCTCGATTTTCCTCCTTCTCCCCGCCTTCCCTGCCTGGCGCCCCCGCCGAGGAGGACGGAGAGGAGGAGAGGGCGGAGAGGGCGGAAGAATGGGGAGGAGGAGGAGGAGGAGGAGGAAGAGGAGGAAGGGGAGAAAGGGAGGGTCGGAAGGAGTACGGTCGGACCTAAGACATAATAATATCCTTCAAGAGCATGAGGCCTTCCGCCAGCCCAAACTCCCCAAACCACAAGATCACTCGAGGGTACCCTCCCCCAGGATGCACAAGAACGTCCGACAAACACGAACAACATCATGGTACCCTCCCCAGTCCGACGGTAGGATGAGGGGTGGAGGGAATAAGAGGTCACGATGCCACTGGTCCCTGGACCTCTCTCAGGGTGGGCCAGGATGTCGAGGCGAGTCCAGCTGTAGAGACGAGGGCCTCACAGGAGCCCAGAAAGGCAAAGGCGATGCGAACATCGCGGTATCGGTACATGTTTCTCCTCCGGGGGGAGGGACGGAAAGGAGGGGGGCAAAACTAGAGGACGAACAAGACGCCGTAAGCATAACATGTCGGAGGTCCGCGCGGATTGTTGGGATCGGCGCTGGAGGCGCAGCCACGGAGGTCCAGCATCGACCCAAGACATCCGCGCGGAGTTTAGATAAAGTATGCTTACGCGGTTTTTATCCTTGGGAAGGACATGTGGCGAGATCCGAGTCCGACCCCACCAGCCATCGATTCTTCTGAATCGATGGGAGGCGGCCAGGGGTAAGGCTCAGGTTTCGCCACGTCTTCGACGAATTCCAAACCCTGCCCCCGCCCATCGAGTTGCCCGAATCGTCAACCGTCGATCTGCGAGGGTGGGGTTTGGATTTTCGCCGCCGAGCGCAGGAGGACCTCACGCTGTGGACGAAGTCTGCCAACCGTTGACGCCGCCCGGGCCCGCCGCGTGCAGCGCGACACCACCGCGAGGGCCGGATCGTCGCCCCACGCGCGCCGCGCCGCGGCCAACACCGTGCCCTCTGCACGGGGCGACGACGACCACGGCGACGACGATGACGACGACGACGACGACGGCGACGATGACGACGACGACGACGTCTCCGACGCCGACGCAGACGCCGAGGGCGACGACGACGGCGACGACGACGACGCCAACGACGACGCCGACGACGACGACGCCGACGCAGACGACGACGACGCCGACACCAATGCCGACGCCAAACGACGACGACACTGAGGTCGCCGCCAAGCGACGACGACGACGACGCCGACGCATACGCCGACGCCGACGCCGACGACGCCAACGACGACGCCGACGACGACGACGCCGACGCCGACGACGACGACGCCGACGCCGACGCCGACGCCAAACGACGACGACACCGAGGTCGCCGCCAAGCGACGACGACGCCGACGCCGACGCATACGCCGACGCCGACGACGCCGTGCCCTCTGCGAGGGGGGGTCTCCCTGAGGCTCTGAGGCTGTGCTGGCGGTGCCGTCCGAGAGCTGACGGTGTGCCTGGCACAAAGAGGTCGAGGAGCATGGGGCCATCCTTGGGCCCTCCAGGGGCCCGAAACTGAGTACCCGCAACCGGTGCCTCCCTAGGCCGCAGGGACATTTATTCCCCAAACAGCTTGCTGAACGGGGTGCTGTCGTGGTGGAAACTGACTCCAGCCGAAGGAAAAGGGAGCAAAGACATCTTCAACAAAATCTAATGGTCTGGGCCGTTTCGCCTGCGACATCCTCACAGCTCTCGTGTCTGAGTAGTCGGGGATTGGCCGTTTCGCCCGAGACATCCTCTAAACTCTGGGCTCCAGGACGTCGCGCGCGAGGTGGTCCACGCCGATTCGCCTGAGACATCCTCGCAACTCGAAGCCCCGAGATGCCGTGCGAGAGGTGGTCCGGCGCGTTTCGCCTGAGACATCCTCGCAAATATGCGATCCGAGCTGCCGCGCGAGAGGTGGTCTGGCGCCTTTCGTGTGAGACATCCCCGCACCCTTCATCTCTGAGATAATGCGCGATGGGTGGTCCAGCTCGTTTCGCCAGAAACATCGTTGCAACGCTGAGCTCTGAGAAAATAAGCGGAAGGGTGTGTGGCCCCTTTCGCTTGAAACATCCTCGCAATTCGGGGCTCCGAGACGAGGTGGCCTGGCTCGTTTCGATCCTCGAAACTCTCGTCTCTCCAAGGGGGAGGAGAAACGAGAGAGAAGGGGTCAGACCTAAACAAATGACTTTCTCATACTTCTATTGTCGCAGTGAGCGCTGAGAAGGGTCTGGGCGCCGCCTGAATCATCCTGGCGACTCTGAGCTCCAAGATGTCGCACGCGACGTGGTCCAGCCCGTTTCGCCTGAGACATCCTCGCAATTCGGAGTTCCGAGATGCTGCGCGCGAGGTGGTCTGGCCCGTTTCGCCTGAGACATCCTCGCAACTCTGGGCTCCTTGATGATGTGCGCGGGGTGGTCCAGCTCGCCTCGCCTGAGACATCCTCGCAGCTCTCTCTCTCTCTCTCTCTCTCTCTCTTCAGAAGACGTGCGTGAGGTGGTATGGCGCGTCTCGCTTGAAACATGCCTAAGACATTCTCCAAGCTCTGGGCTCCTAGAGGGAGGAGAGAAGAGCGAAGAGGGGTCAGACGCAAACGGAACATCTGATTGCACTTCCGTTGTCGAACTCTGTTCTGGGAAAAATCTGGGCGCCACTGGTCCGACGGAAGGGGTAGCCGGCGCCGAGGCGCGAGCACGATTCCTTGGAAACAACTGCAAGGGCTTATCAGGGGGGAGCCATGCTGGATCAAATCGCAAAGATGCCTCGAGCGAGAAAGCAACGAGCAGCCAGGAGACAGCATGGGGGAGGAGAAAAAG